CGATGCAAGCTTTACTGCAGGTTTCCAAGACACTTTGTTTTCTGTTTGGTTTTTACTCCTCGATGAAGAGAGAAAAGTGAGGAGACCAGGCGGGCTATACGGACACAAGCCAATTCACTCAAGTCAGCGCAAACCTTAAATTTGGAGCTCGTTTGGTTCTTCAGCAGTTTGAGGCGACAAAAATCGCCTTGGAACGCGCAACCCCGGTGCGGCGTTGAGAGGGAAGATGACGTGGTGTCACTGAAGGAGGGTGTGGCGCAGCCCGAATTGGTTTGTGGCTCTGGCTCTGGCGCCCCAACGGTCAGCGGCGCAGCTCACCGAGTCCTTGTACGGGATCTCCGTGATGGACAGGGGTGGTTTCTGGCGATCCTGGCATTGGGCAATCTGTGGCTAGAGCTCGGTTTCAAGTCCGAGGGGTTTCGGTGCGGCGGTGAGTGTCTGTTGGGCGACCGGCGAACGCATTGCGAAGACATCCTGGGGATAGCAGCAAAACTTGGATCTCTGGGCGGTCACTTCTCTCTACTATGAGGCGGCGCGCTGTTCTTCTCGCCCCGAACATGCCGTTGGCGAAAGCTACGGTACCCCTGATTAAGCTGCTGGATCGTGCGGAAGTGGTGTTGCACAGGAAAGATTCTATTGTTTTCTGGTGGATGGACGAATTGGGGGCTGGATGTGACCTGCCTACCTTACCATGAAGCACCTATACGCACACTCATCCAGCACTGTTTTCTGATCGCGATCAGGAAAGAGTATATATAGCGTTTGCTGCTCATCCAGAGGGGCCAAGGTCTTGGACAGTTTCGCGTACGTCGCGATGCCACGGCTGGGGGCATCGGGAAAAGTCGGAGGAAGCCAAACAGATGTCACCATGGGTATGCGACATGGAGAACGGGTCGGATTCTAGGCGAGAGTGTTAAGCATTGCATCCCCGCGGGGGAGCCAAGCATTTGAGAGGAACCCGAAAGAAGGGTTGAAGTCATTAGCTTGGGGATCGTGATATGGCGTTCGCAAAATAGCCGTCTATTTCGAGAAGGCCAAGGCATTCTCAAAATAAGAATGGACGGAGAGCGAAGAGATGGTCTTGCAATGCTGAACACTGAATTCGACACACGGCGACTCCTGTCGCTAGAGTGATGATTCGCAGGTCGGGGTTGACGATGGAAAGGCCAGAAGTGAGGCCAGATGAGACCCGGCATCCACGATCAATTGCTTCGACTACACAACCCAACAGACCAAATTTAGCACTCTCTCTCAACATTTCACTGTGTTCATCGTAGCGGCTCGTGTCAGTCTCTCTTCTCCACATACCAAAGTCCCGAGCGCATCTCAGCATTTCAGCCAAAGTCGGCGGCGCAGCATGCCAGAAAAGGATTGTTCGCTTCCTGCCAGGCTGCCGCAAGCCGAGGCGCACCGCGCAGCAGTCACTGCCATTTTTACTTCCTGCGCTCTTTCAGCTGGTCTACGGCATAGACGTGGTGCCGCATTAGCCGTGCGCTCGGTCAACTGAAGTTTTGCATACGTCGAGAAGAGGAGAGACAATAGACGAATCCGTGGCGAGCGAGCGTGCGTCTGTCTCCGTCGTCAGCTGTCAGCGAAGGAAAGCAGCATCGTGCAAAAGTGAGTGGTGGGCAGAATATCTGCGGAAGAATGGTTGATCGATGGCAGCAAAGGTCCCTTCCCGGGCGGTGGGTGTTTGGGAGTGGGATAAATTTAGCTGAGTCAGCCCCGATTTCGACCGGCCACTTGTGAGACCCACCTCGGCACTCCGAGTGCTCTCCACCGACGGGCACAGGCACAGGTACAGGCACTGGCACCTTCTACCGCGAATAACTTCAACTGGCCCTGTCCACCTGCCTCTCTTGCAACCCGTCAGTGCTCTTGTCTCAAGACTACGTAGCCCTGGTTGCTGGGTTACTTCGGACCAGACTTGGCTTTTGTGAAGTGTGGGCCCTCGGCTCAACAATCGCATTATCTCTCTGGTCCATCAGATTGCTCTCTGTCTGTCAGAGTGTTTCTCCTCATCTTCTTCGTGCAAGTCCAAGAACTAGTCACACGGCCTCTGCAGGCTTGGCGTCGCTGGTGTTGCGGCTCTTCACTCGCAGGCAACCTCTCCAACAGACGAAAGTGTGAAGCCTGTCTGCCTCTCAAAATAGCTGACTTTCGTCTGAGATAGCCCCCACTCCGCATGGATGCGTTTCCAGTGTCCCACTTCCTCTCTCTGAGGCATGTTTCAAAATGATATCCCGCGCCGCTATTCGTCGATCTCCCGCCCTGGCAAACCCGCCCAGGAATCTCGCTGCCCAGCTTGCCCTTTCCCTCCCGCGCCCTGATTCGTCCGCCGTGTTTTGGCACAGCCAGCGCCAACGCAAGAGCCTCTCTCTGATGTTTGTCCGTATCAAACTGCAGCTTGACGAATCCCAAGGCTGATGATGAATTGGGGGTCCATGTCTTTCTCTCTGCGAATCCACAGTCCACCTCTCCCGTACGGGTCTTTCGTATTCCCACTTCTTTTCCCCCCTCTCACCCCTCGGGACCGTAGCACCCCGAGCCAAGCCAAGCCCAGACAGCCTGTCAAACCCCCCCGACGACAAAGATGACGGGAGCCCAGGCCCGGAGTCCCACGTCCAGATCTGGGTTACAGCAGGAGACTTGCATCAAACAAGCAACGCACCCCATCGCAGTATTCGTACCCACCGGCGCTTATTTTGGTAGTCGTGCTGTGGGATATCCCGTCTGAGCTTGGCAAGTGTCAAGGGCATGGCTCTTCACCCCGGACCCTCAGACCCGCGCGTCCGGTTGTCATTATAAGTATATCTGACGGCTGCCTTCCCGTGCTATCGATCATGACGACCCTCTAAACTCTGTTTCCTTTTGTCTTTATATCTCCGAGTGTGTGTGGTGCCCGTCTCCGCAACTCTTTTTTCTCTTCAACCCGCCGGGCTGGTTCCCGTCCTTGCCCGACAGCCGCTATGCAGTTGAAGGGATTTCTTCCTCTGGCCTTCGCTGCACTGGCGGCGGCGGCTGAGCCGCTGGCCGCCGTGCTAAAGACTCACAATGGAACGTTGAGTACGATGAACTGTGAGTAGTAGTGTCCCGCATCGTAGGGGGGAATGGGCCTCACTTACACGAACCGATGTCCAGCTCTGCTCGCCATGGTCCCCGCAGTCGGCGAGACCCTCTCCACCTCCAAAGACTTCACCATCCTCGCGCCCTCGAACGACGCCTTCGCCAAGGCCATGCAGGCCGACCCCACGCTCGCCCAGAAGATGACCAACGTCACCTGGGTCACCGACCTGCTCATGTACCACGTCGTCGCCGGCAAGACCACCTCCGCCGCCTTCTCCTCGAAGCCCAAGTTCGCCAACACCATGTTCGAGACGCCCTTCGCCAACGTCACGGGCACGCAGAAGGTCGAGCTCAACAAGATGGCCGGCAAGGCCGTCGTCTACAGCGGCTTCAAGCAGATGAGCATCGTCGAGACGCCCGACATCACCTTCAACGGCGGCGTGCTGCACGTCATGGACTCGGTGCTGACGTTCCCCGGCACGCCGGCCGAGACGGCGATGAACACGGGCCTGACGAGCATGGCCGGCGCGCTGGTGAAGGCGGGCTTGGTGGACGGGGTGGATAGTCTACAGGCTGCGACTGTTTTTGCGCCGACGAATGCGGCATTCCAGGCTATCGGGGCGACTGTCACGTCGATGCAGCCGGCGGATCTAGCCAAGGTGCTGCAGTACCACGTCGTTCAAAACCAGGTCCGCTTCAGTACCGGAATTACGACCAAGATGGGGTTCAAGAGCTTGATGGGGGAGAAGGTTACGTTGAGGAAAGAGGAGGGTGTGGTGTATGCCAACTCGGCCAAGGTGTCGGTTGCCAACATCATCACCAGTGATGGCGTTATGCACGTCATTGACAAGTAAGGATTATTCCTCCACCTTCAGGCTCTCCAGATCTTTGACTAACGTTATGACAGCGTCCTCAACCCCGCCTCGCCGAAGCTCACCCCCTCCAAGTCCGCCGCGACCTCCCCCCTCGCCTTCAACGGAGCCATCGCCGCCGCTAACGCCCCGTTCGCCGACACGGTAAAGCCGACCGCCAACTTCGTACTCGCCGTTGAATCGAGCGCGATCAACGTCAAGGTCAACTTTGTTCATGCCGTGCTTGGGTTCCTCGGATGCCTGGCGGTGGTCATGCTGTAAAGCGAAATGGCGACAGAGTCTTCTTTTGTCACGTACAAATCTCATTCCATTCTTTGGGAGCTTCAAGTGAGCATCTTACAATACCAGAGACTTATTACTCAGATACTACTTTTTAATTGGAGCGGACTCCACGAAATTTTGCCAAACTGTACAAAATCCCAGTCGCGTGTCTACACCGCGCTACGTAGACCATCGCATGTTTATCCAGTAGCAAACATCATTCGCACAGCATCGCATCCTCCGTACCTCGGGGGAAAACTAATGAGTGATGACCATGATTCAAAAAAAAACATGATGTCTAGCGCGCACTTACGTGCTATCCTCACGATCTGCCCTGTTAGTCGAACTTCAGTATGTTTGGCTGATCGCCCTATTATTGATTGTCGCTGCACGATTTCAACCATAATTCCCATGGGCATAAGATTCACCAACAAGTAATCGTCAATTCCCGTCTTGCCGCAGGACATATGTTGTTCTATCTCAAGAGTACCAGGCCTATTTCTCGATACAACTCTAATTGAATTAGAGCAGAGCTTCAGAAGTTTGCCGTAAGGTAGAAACCTAGTACTCTGACATGCTCAGGAATATGGTCACACATCCCATAGCTGTTGTTCATTCCCCAAAGCTGCCGACGAGCTTCTGAAGGTATAGCTATAAGTCGAATCAAAACCATCGTCAACCGAGACATAAAAGTACTGTTCGCCCCCTCGACAGGGACAGCAGCGGTTCGTTGCCTGGGTATTGCGAAGTTCCTGAGGGTTCGTCGCATCTCTTGTACATCGATATCCCCAGCTCCAATCCTCAGGTTGATGCTATCCAGCACCAGTTGATATTTTCTGTAACCGACGATGGTGTATTGTAGTATCTGGCCAGAAACGTCGATGCGTCGTCGTTGGAGCCGGGGAAATTACTAAGTAGGAACATGAATTCTCCGGTTCGAAATTTTCCAGCGATTCCATCATCGGCCAGCATGAAGAATTGTGTTTCCAGGAGAAATGACCCGTAGCTCGGCTCACCAACATCCATCATGAACTTGCTCTCTGCGTCGTTCCAGCTAACCGACGGCCACGCCTTGACAACTCTGCAGTGCCGGGGAAACCTAAAGTGGGGACAGTGTAAGCCACGGATTGACAAGTTCATGAGCATCCTGATGTCCAAGTCCATCGATATGTCTGTCAGTATATACGCATTTGGGTAGATTCGGCGCACCATGCACGCCTCGTCTCGGTCCGATATCTCCACGAGCTTTCGCAGGCCCTGCCGCGCGAATCTGCCCGGACTTATCATTTTTAGTCCGACGCCGAGCCCGGGCACGCGTCGCTTCCAATGTTCGCGTCGCCAGTAGCCAGTGCAAACCGGAAGCACATAGCTCAACCCACCGGCCTGCTGCATCCGCGCCACACATAGGTCGAGGGTCAACTTGATCCCAGCGTCAGTGACGCTGACTTCATTCCATTGATGCCTTATAAGGTGTCTGGCTTTCAAGTGAAAGTCTCCAGGCGCCTTGGCGAACGCACTGCCATGATCCGCTCCATCATACCGCGTTGGCTGAGTACCATGACGATCTTTAGTCCAGGCAAAGATTGACACATCATATGCGGTTCGTATGATTTCCTCTTGGAGCCTACGAAACGCTTTCGTACCTTCGCCGTAAAGCATGGGTATGTTGACATCAAAGATGCCCACGAGACAGTAGGCCATGTCCTCCTCCCTCGTGGTTTCGCGGCCGCCGGCCCACGAGATCCGCTCCGCTATAGAGTAGTCTCTCGGTTGATAATATGGAATGGCGTTGGGAGAGATGCCTATGACGTCTGAGAGCATGTTTTCCCAGTCTTCCTTGGTGCCAACGAACCCCCAGTCGTGTTGGTAGAAAAGTACAGAAGCCGGTGCGATGAGTTCCTGCAAGGTCCAACCCTAGAGAACCAACGGCATCTGCTCCATAAGGACATCAGGTTCAGGAACAAGGTTCCCTCGGATGCCGATGCAGGGAGGTAGAGGTCTAACAGGTAGGCGCAGCACACGTTTGCATTTTTATACCGTCTGTACATCGAGTTGATAGCCTCCGAAAGCTCTGCGCTGTAGACTTATCGATACAGCAGGTGTCGACCCAGGCGTACTTGATATCCCTGCTGAATGCCAGCCAGCATGTCATACGTATCTTTTCAAAGCCCTTCATCCCATCGCGCTTGGGGCTATTCCAATCCTGGAGAGTGACTTCCTCGCCTCCCCAGGTGTGTGAGAAAATCGTGTATGGAGGTATATATTGGCCGAGGTGAGTTTCCATGGCGAGGATGGTGGTTTCAATTAGACGCATGGTGGATGATTTGGTGACTGGAAGTCTATAGAATGAGATTGAAGGCTTTGTGTTGCGCGGTTGCCGGTCGTTATCGGGTATCCCAGTTCGTGATCCCCCACGCTCATCGGGGCAGCCTAACAATGTCGTCTGGGTTTGACACACTGATGTGTGGAATATGTGAGCTCTGCCGGTCAGCTTGAAGTTACAAAGGCATTTGATAAGTTGTCTAAGCTGCCCACTTCTGACACCGGCGGACTCAACTGTGATGTAGTCTGGTGGTATGAGAGAGGGGCAGGGAGGTCGGTGAAGTTCCAGGTGAAGGTAGTGATAGGAACTGAACGACCGCAAAATTGTCAACTTCGAGCGCTCTTTATCAAGCAATCAACTATTTCGAGTCATTCGATGCTACTTGTTTTTAGACACAATTTCGGCGGCGGGAGCTTAGCGAGCATTGGTGGTCGGTCAGTAGCGCTGGGAAGAGTACGTGGACCATGGAATGCTGAACTGGAAATATAAATGCAGAGACACGTATATAGACACATGATCTCCGCCATTAAGCGCTTATCAGGGCTGTGGCCGCTTCGGCGCTTCTATCCATTGGTTCGCACAGCTTGGGGGTCAGAGGCGGAGTCACATGAAATGCAGCCTGCTGCGACACAGCCCCGCGAGATAGGCAAACGCAGTTTCCAATCTGACCATCATGAAGTCGCCGAAGAAAAAGCTCCAATTGTGAGCAGCTGTACTTTCGAATCTAGGCCCGCTTCTTCCAAAGACAAGTAGAAAGAGGAAAAGCAGAGGTGAATGACAATAAGTTGGTTGCAGAGCTTCAACCCCTGGCTTTCGCACTGAACGAGTCAGATGCAATCAACAGGCGTTAGATTTCTTCTTGCCTTTTGGAAACGATTCGCTTGGCAAATCTTGTCGCAAAAATTGAAATATCAACTGAAATGATGTCAACAAATACTTTCAATATTACACAGGAAACGGGCTATTCCATGATGTTGATTATCCGTCCCATCTGCTCCTTAATCACAGTGATCTCCTGTTCCAGGCGTCGTCTCAACGCGGGGTTCTCCTCGCTCTCTGTCGCAACATTTTCATCCCTGATCAAATTAAGAACCGCTACAACCGCGGTTAGCCCACCATGGACAATAGCTCGCAGCTCTGTCTGCACATGATCTGCCAAAAGCCTCATTCTTCTCTTAAACTCAGTCATGTGATTCTCAAAGAGGTCCACTCGATCAACGGCGCTGCGGATGATATTTTTACGTCTCCTGTCACTTCCACCTCCTGCCCTTGGTGTAAGTAGTAATGATCTTTAACTTTAGAGCTTCATGATCTAACTTACCATAGTCTGCATTGCATTTTTTATAAGGGGCTTCCATCGCTTGGCCGAGCATGGACGTCCGAATACCGGTAAGTGCGTTTATACGCAGCGTGCTGTCTCGAGGTTCAGCTCGGAGCCTATCTTAGTAGAGAGCTACTTACTTCAAATCAGTGCCGAGTCTGTCGATGAGCGCCTCTACTTGGGAATTCATTGTGTTTTCGTAGCAGATCAGAATTTCTTGGAGAAGATCTGTGACTCCAGGGAAAGTCCCGAGCTCATTTTCTGACGGGAATTTAGCGAAGCGAGCCCAGTATCTGGTTGAAACGTCCTTACCGAGTAAGTCAAGCGCCCATTCCATGTGACCTTTGATTAGGCGGCTAATCTGCCCAAGTCTTTCCCTGCAAGATGTACACATGATATCCCACTGAGGTGTCACATCCCTGACCATAGTATGGATCATTTCCTCATTCCAGTCATGCCATCCGGCCGTGCTGGTATGGTGGTTCCCAAAATTGCGGCAGAACGCTGAATAGGTTGCTTCACATGTTTTTGAGCAACTGATCAGGCATCACGTGGAAAGTCGGAACTTACCCGGCGCCCACTCATTCTTGTCAGCGAGGCACAATTGGGAAGAAGTCAATAGACTTACGGGATGCCATTCTAGTGCGGCATCTACCGCCGCAGTCCTCCATGTGTTGTTGCGTCGATCTTACACATCTTTGGTCAGACAGATTAATTGTCTGAGGAGGTAGACGACCCACTATCATAGACTCGCGTCTGGAACTCATCCGTGATCGACGCCCCAACGAGACTGAGATCTGAGTTCCTCCCCATGAACTCCTGATTGCCAACTATCAGTCAAAAGCAATGAAGTGAAAATGGATACATGTTGTGGATTATCTGACCCTTTTCAGCCGAGACTCGATCAAGTTCAGCGTGTCTCGAATTTGATGCTTCTGTTCAGCACGGGCGCTCCCGGCACCAGACTCAACCCACAATGTAGCTTCTCCAAGTAAAGCGGGAATGTCGTTTTCAATGAAACTCTTCGCGATACTTAAGTGACTGTCCGCAATAATGCCGAGGCAGTGACTTCGAAGCGCAGGAATACCGCTGAGCTGCAGCGATGGCAGCGCCACGTCCCTCGGCTTGTCTCGTTCATCCCAGTATAGCCTGTTGCTGACGCAGAACACAGCCAGATTTCCTCCTGGAACCTTGTTTCTGTACGTTGTAAGAAGTTGGCTGGTGACCATGGCGTTCCGGGTCTGCATAAGATATTCCTTGAGTCTTGTGTGAAGGCCGGCATGTTAGCTTGCAAGTCAGGTTCCTGAAGTCGATCAGAAGTCCGCCCTTCACTTACTCGAACAAGTTTTTTTTCAAAAGTACACTATTGAGGCAATATTACTTAGTAATAGCTACCAAAGAGTAAACACAGCTGTAACTCACTTGGCCTGTCTCTGCTCCTTCTGGAGTATATTTAGATCAATTTGTTCCTTTTCTGTTAGCTCCGACAATTCCAAGTCGAAAAAAGACGACAATCCGTGATCGATGTTTTCAATCTTTCGCCGAGTAATTGAAACTGCGTCGCTGAGCAGTTGAATACGAGTCGCGTGTCGTTCTTGCCAGTCTTTCATGGCTTCTTCTGCTTGAATGTCCTGCGTTTCAGGTATTAGCAGACAACTCATGTTGAATATAAGGCAAAACGGTGAAGGCTTCAAGTTGTTCTCACATCAGACTTTGTACAGATGATCCTAACGTTGGATAATCCGGCCTTCTGCGCGAGTCCAAAAACGCTTTGCACGCCAACATCTGTAGTTGCTCGCCCGATGTTACATATTGCAAAAATCTCGTCACATTTGACCAAATATTTTTCGGTAATAAGCCTGCGTGCCGAGTTCGAGTCACGGAGTCCTAAAAATCACATATGAGGGACAATTGGGTCATGCACAATAAGGGTTTAGCTTACCGGGAAGATCGACGAGGATTAGACCCTTACTCAGAATATGCGAGGAGAGGAACACCCTGTTCCGTTCAGAACACTTCGTTTCACAGTCCGTGGAAACTAGGGAAAACTTACTTGATCTTACGGACAAAAGGCCATACAGCCGGTGTCCGCGTATCAGTCGACTCAGATGTCAAATAAGCCAGGAAGCCAGCACAATCGTCTTGCGAAGCCTTTTCATGTCTTCCTCCGACCGGAAGATCAATCTCTCGTAGCCAAGACCTAAAGGTCTCCAAGACAGTGTTTTCCGACTCGTTGAGAAGGAAGTCTTCGCTCGCCAGCCGTCCTCGAAACATAGATCGAAAAGTGTCTCGAGCAACGTTCGCCTGCTCTTCATTATCGACAGCTGCAGCCGCCCCATCATTTCCCATGATTTCTCCCTCATTCAGGTGAGAAAGCCGGTACAGCTGGAGCAACTCCTTCGTCTGCTCCATGAGGTCATCCTGACTGAACAATTCCACCTCGATCGCGAAATCGTGCCCGTCCGCATAGTGATACTCAGTAACGACGCAGGTGCATGCGGCTCCGCTGTTGCTCTATCAGACGTCAGCCAATTACTAAGGCTTTGCGCAAGATCATCTATATCCTACTGTTCTGGCGAGATGCCTTTTATCTAGCAGGGAGTTCAAGACGCTACTTTTTCCTAGGTCTGTTAGGTAAGGTTACTTCACTCATAGTGCAAGATGCTCACCGACTCCAGAGTCTCCTACAAACCCGATGGTTCGCATCGAAGGTCCTTGGAAGTGGGACAGATGGAGTGCTTGGCCATGTAGTCGTTTAATTGTTGAATCGGGGCTGATGTGAAGCGGACTGCCTTCAAGAGTGCTTACCAACCGGGTCATCAGTGCTTTCGCATCCTTGATGGCACTTTGGACCGCAGGGTTGTAGAAGCGGCTCTCTGGCAGTTCCTCGTCCTTAACGTCGTAATACACCAAGGGTACTTCAGAACCCGCCCGCGATCGACGAAGGGGACGTGGGCTCGAGGAACTTTGCCTAATTGAAGGCGCAGGACTGCTTAGGTGGGGGCTTCGTCGCCCATTATTGATGAAAAGATTCGATAGCCCAGCTCTAATGTCCGACAATCCTAGATCTGATGGGGCCTTATCGAGGTCATCGATAACAAGTCGATCTAGGCGATGAGCAAGACTTCCGGTCTCAGAGAAGTTCTGAGCTAAACTGAGTCTCCCAGAAACATTATCAGCAGCTCTATAGAAACGCGGGGAGAGCAGGATTGATGGTGATGGGGAAATTGACAATGAGGGCACCCTCGCACGAGTGGTCGGTGAGCTGGGAGTCAAAGCTCCAGATGGAAACTCAGCCCATGTCGCGGTCTCAACTGAAGGCAAAGGCTCGTCTGGAGACACATCGCTTGGAAATCTCAGTTCCGGGAACAAGAAGGGGTCATTCCTATTGATAGACGGAGAACGACTCGACTCAGGAGTGAATACTGGGGTGGATGATCCCAAAGACGCCGTCGACGTTGCTACTGACGGATATCTTGTTGGAAATATTACTGGCGCAGGATTTGAAAATATTGATTCCTGAGGAGAAAGGGAGGTCCGAAGCGAAGGTTCAGAAGTCGCAGACCTCGATGAGCCGGTCGCAGCTGGGGAATGTCGACGCTTCTGCTCCAGGGTTAACTAGATGATCTCGCATTATTTGGCGGAAGAATCGGTATCATGGTTCCAAGGAGAAAAACTCACAATTCTCGTCATTTTCCAAAATACAGTGGTGAAATGAAGAGACCACGGGAAACTGAAGATTCAGGCGCCAATTTCAGGTGGGCATGCCGTTCGCCTCTTAACGTAGGGTGGTGCTTAGGATCCCCAAGCCTGTCTCATTCAACCTAGACTGAGAGAGGAAGTCTCATTACGGGTGCTTATCCTATTGCAGATGATGAGTCCGTAGAGATATCCATTCCAGAATGGCACGCCTTTTCCCGGTGAGGGGTTCATGCAGGTTGGAGCGGCGGAGACCTCCTGTTGGTTTCAGCTGAATGTCGCGGGTCCTCAGCCGGACCAACACGGATGGACCTGCTGGGCGAAAAAAGCGCCAACAGAGCCATCGGACCATGATATGTGTGATAACGAGTCAGTTACATGCAGGTCTCCGGCTCTTGGGTCAATTCTGGACTCATTGCCGCGTCAAAAGGGGGAGAGCGCCAAATCGAGCTGCTCGAAATTGAGTGGCTGAACAAGGAATGGAATCCTAGTCTGCTTATGATTAATGCAGCAACTCCTGCTTAAACGCTCATGATAGCATACTAATAGCGCAAACGAAATGATTCTCTTCTGCAGATGAAACTCCACGATCAAGTTTGCACATTCATGCCCAACTATTCGCTATGCAGGAAGGCAGATCAGCTCAGAATTGAACCACGAAATCATTACGATATGGGTATATGACCTGAATTTACACCTATAGTAGTAAACATATGTTAGTGCGAGCTGGCTCCTTTCAGTTTTTGGCTATAGCAAAACGTCCCTGCGCCTGAGACTTTCATCAGGACGATAATAGGATGCTATATCAATTGCTGCAGAGAGAATCCCCTAAAGAATACAACCTCGCTACTCGATCAGCAATATTGGTGTTCATAAATTCGTATTAGAGTTAACAAGTCAGTTCGGCTTGATTTATGGCTCCTGATAGAAAACATCTAGGCACCAGAACGTTATATGCTCCTGCAATTTGGCAGTATCTTGGGACAAGAAATTTTAGGCTGAGCTCAACTCCCTACGAAATTCCAAGTAGTCTAGAACTCTTCTATTAGTAGACCTATCTACATGCAATGCTTTTCAAATACTCTTTTGTTCCGCATCTACTTCAGTCTCCATTCGATTGAACGTCAGTCTTTGTTCTGGTCTCCCCTCACAGGCGTTAGTGTAGTTCACTTGCTGAGCTCTCTTTCCCCTACCGACTCCAGGGTTTTTCTTTTACTGCGTTAACAAATCTTCCAGACCAGTTCGCATGACTATTGGCATGATGAAGGCTAGGAGGTATTCGCCCGTTTGAGCGGTGTGTAAGTGGTTCAAGTCCTGACTGCAGCTACTATAATTGACGTTTACTATGGACTGGATAGAGTTGATTGAACTGCGCTGATGTGCCTCAATGATGTGCCATCTAACATTCAGTGATCGCCTCACACAAATAAACATGTCGTCTCAGTGATCAAGGCTGCGCGAGTACCAACTAAGAACGAGAACTCCATTCCCCTATCTACCTCAGAGCTCTACAATGGCAGAGCTTTCAACGGCTTGTTGCCTACCTATGTGATCATCACGATTTCTGAGAGCACATTTAATACTTTACCTTTAACGAATTCATTGTTGATCGCAGAACCTCTGACATTTACACTAATCCAGAGTTATCCTTCTATAGGTCTGAACAACTCAGAAGTCTGGTTCCTCAGCCCCTTTGCAAACTCCTCTACAACACTGCACAGTATCTTTAAGTCCTATGAAACCTTGACTATTCTCCCTTGCTATTAGTGTCACACTCAACTGAACAGTCGACTTATAGTGACATTAGCAAAATTACAGCAGGAAGTAGTCATATAATATTAACCTTAAGCCTGTCCTCAAGCCTTAAATCATTAATTATATCTACGCCTTTGCAGTTTAAGGGTATTCAATTAGATATATAATGTTATTATTAGAAATCATATAGCTATAGTTTTTATAGCTTACGTTAGAGCTTAATTTAACACGCGTTTGAGAACTAATCTTAAAAATCTGTTTTTTTTTTGAGAGAGAGAGAGAGTGGATGGAAAGTCTATACTAGGCTTAACTTAGTATCACGTTGAGAAGTACGACTTATTTAATAATAGCAAGCTCAAGCCGTAATGAACGGATGGTAGCCGAGGGTGGGCAGCGGTTGAGGAGCTTTTCGTGGCCGAGAGACCGGACTTAAGAAGTTGTCTAAACATCGTATGCTTCGATCCCTCTCTTCTTGTCTTCTCCGGGTTTCTTTCTTCACTCCTCGTTTGCCTTCTTCTCCGTATCTTATCGTATTGTATTCTTGTCGTGGTAATTAGTTGTGACCGCAATAATAGAATAGATTGTGAGATAACTATGAGAATGTAGGTGTCTATCTTTGCGTATATCTGCCGGCTGCTGGTTTGTTCTACGAGGGGGACGGGGTTGATTCGGGATTGAGGATTAGGAATGAGTTTGGGTTGGAATGCTTGGGATCCGGGCCTTTTGTATGGATGGCTGCGATAAACTTTGCTGCAAGGGTTATTAGAACTCTAGCTGCAAACCTCGCTAGCCACGGTCGTCGGCGCACCTCACACTCGATGCAAAAACAGGAGAGAAAAAGAATGCCTCACCGAACGTGCCACCAACTACAGTAATCATCAACCTGCAATATTAGCATAGGTACATAACTTCCCAGGGACCATAGAGACGATAGAGACGATACAGACGACAAAGATAAAAGAAATAATAGTGACAATGTGAATAGCCCGCGTAATAGGCACGTCAGCGATAGACATAAAACAGGACTCTTTCTAGATAGCCGGAAATGTCTCTAGATAGAGCCTTTCTATATGCTATCGAGCCCTTCACATATACACCAAGTCATTTCTCTCGCAGGTAACACTAATCATTGCTACTAGGTAGACGAAGTGCAAAACATAAAATTTCCTGGGGAATCTTACAGAACCTCCCAAAAGCTAACTCCAACCTTGATCTATGCAATTCGCCATGCACCGCCCAAGCATCCATCCTTCACCACCTCCACCCCCTTAACCTTCCCCTACCCGTCGCCCGCTCACTTCGGCTGGCCCGGGTCAACATACCCAGACCCCCTCCTGCACACCTTATCGACCGCGCTGTTCTCGCACGGGAACGTGTCCGGGCACGTGTTGAACGTGTAGAAGTCCGTCTGGCAGCACTCGGCGATGCTGTAGCAGCTGTCCGTGGGAATGTTGCAGACGCCAGCCTGTGTCAAACCCCATTTCGTTAGCAAGAAAAATATTCGGGGGCGGGTGCATCACGAGAGACGGAGAGAGAGAAAGAGAGAAGGGGGCTTAGCTCATTGAACGTACCTCGTTGAGACGAAAGTCAAACTGCGAATCGCAGCAGAACTTCGTCAGCCCAATGTCCCCGCCGGACCGGTCCGAGTTCATGCAGTAGCCCATGGAGCGCGAGGCCATCGCGCCGGCGGCGAGGGAGGCGATCGTCAGAAAGGTTGAGGGATGCATCGTGGGTATCTTATTTGGTAATGGAAAGGAACGTGATTGTGTGGATTTACTTGGAAAGCGACAGAACAACTTCATCCGCACAAGGTGCAAAAAATGCTTCGGATGGCGCAAACAGACTACATAAAGAAAATCAACTCCAGCGGCCGTCAGGCCGAGTCACGCAAATTAAAGATCAGCAAAGCCAGATGACCACCGCAACTTACAATCGCAGGCCTGGCCGAACACCTCGCCTAGCCTTGGCGGCTTCACACAGATGAACGCCAGCCTTGTAGGGAGCAGACGTCGCAATCAAATTAGGTTTAAGACGTTGGGATGTTAACTTTTCCCGCGTATATTGATTGATTTAATGCAGTTGGTTGGGTTAGATATTCTTAGACCCCAACCACCAACAGCGCGGACTCTCCCGAGTCAGAACCTGAAAAGCTCAAGACAGCTGGCAATCCGACCGCACGTAGGCAGAAAAAGTATAACTGACTTGCGCCCCTTGTTCGGTGTCGGGAGCTCCGTTGCGGGCTACAGCGCGTGCTGTAACTATTATGATGAGAATGCCGACCAATTTTCTGTAGAGCGAATAGGCATTTCCAGTATGATGACAACTAGAGAGGCTACGGCTAAGGTTTGCGTCTAATATATACGCGCTGAAACTCTCTGCTGGGTTACCAAGTCAACTGAAGAGCCTTTTAGAGTTTGGTTGTAGATACCCAGCGAGATCTCGAGCAACAGTCGCCTATTCGTTACCCCGCTGTGATATAACATTGAACAGCGAGGCTGGAAGGCACAAGGCGATGAAAGGTAACGGAGTCACCCGTACGCTGATACACACAAGTCTCTTTCGGGTCATTTAACTCGAATAATCAGTCTTGGCAAATAGACACGACAAACCTCATCACTTCTGTTGGCCGCATGTAAGTGCCGCCGTCACCAACATCAAACTCACGCAAAACTCTTGACCATCGTCATGCTCTGAATCTGTGTAATTACTCTTTGACTCGTACCCGGTTATATACAAGCATACACAAACCGCGCGTTTAAGAAAACCGTCACCGACCCGCCAACCCAGCCCCGAGAAACGCGAGCAAAATAGCAAACGTATAGAGTGAACACCAGTCGTTCCGCAGAGGCAAAATAAAAAAATAAAAAAAAGAACTGGGTAACCAAGTGTAAAAGGACCGTCTGACAGCTTCAAGGAAAATATGCTTTTTTGAACCGGTTTGACTCCGTTAAAAGTTTGTGTGGGTTGTTCCGCGCCGAGCCTTATGAATCTATTTCGTTCCGTCTCTTGAAAGTTGACCGCGTCCCCTTTACATGGTGGGGATGCCCTCGTATTCCGCGTAGCCAAGAGCGAGGTTCATGTTTTCTAGGCCAGGTGTTAGTAGAGCTCTCGAAAAGAAAATCGGGGGAAACTTACGCAGGCACTGGGTGGCGGCACCCTTGAGCAGGTTGTCAATGGTGGAGCAGACGACGACGCGCTTGCCGCTGCTGTGGACAGCGAAACCACCGATCTCGACACCGTGCTTGTTCATGATGTTCCTGACTAAGGGGGGCTCGCCGACGACCTTGACTAGCTTCTCACCAGCGTAGCGGTCCTGGTAGATCTGGCGGATGTCACGAGAGGTGAAGGTCTTGTTGAGCGGGATGTGGATCGTGGCCTGGATACCGCGGAACCAAGAAGCGACGTGAGGGGAGAAGGCGACCTCGGCACCGAGCTTGGCGCTGATCTCACGCTCGTGAATGTGGTCCGTCAAGCTGTATGGCATCAGGTTGTCCCGGAGCATGTTGATGTCGTTCTTGGGGGAGGGCTTGGTGCCTGCGCCAGAGTAGCCAGAGATACCAAAGACGGAGGGGGCACCGCCGAGGTGCTCGACCAGAGGGGCAATGCCGAGCTGGGCAGCAGTAGCGTAGCAGCCAGGGTTGGAGATCTTGTCAGCCTTGTAGATCTCAGAGCGCTTGGTGAGCTCGGGAAGACCGTAGGTCCAGGTGTTGTCGAAGCGGTAGTCAGCGGACAGGTCGACAATGACGCTGCGGTGGTCAGCACCGCCCTTGCGAGCCTCCTCAATGGCCTCGATGTAAGGCTTGCAGACACCGTTGGGGAGAGCCATGACCCAGCAGTCAATGGCACCCTTCTTCTCGAGCTCGGTGACCTGGTCGGGGCTCAGGTTCTCGTAGGTGATTTCCCTCTTGGTGTATCCCTCGAGCTTCTTTCCAGCAAGCTCACGAGAGGAGACGTGTCTGAGATCCATGTTGGGGTGGGAGTTGATGAGGTCGATGAGAGCCTGGCCGGTGTAGCCACGGGCACCAATCAGCGCAACGCGGGAGGGAACGTCGTTAGAGGCGTTCTTCTTTCCCAGGGGAGGGTTAGGGTTGGTGGTGGTGGCGTAGGTGCGCTTGCCGTTGAGACGGGCGGCGGCCGGGGCCCACTGAGGACGGCGGGCCATGGTGGAGAATGCGCGAGCCTGAGCGGGCTGGCTGGACTGAGACAGGTTGCGGTTGGAAACCTGGGCGGCACGGCGCAGACGGGCCTCGAGGTTGGAGTCGCCGAGCATGGCTCTTCCGTGGGCGTTGAACTCGTCGGTAAGGACACCCAGCTCCTGGAGGTTGTCGATGCCGTACCAGAACAGCTGGTTGCCCTTGCTGGAGAAGCTGCCGTCCGCCTTGTCGAAGAACCAGGTGAGGTTCTCGTCCTCCTCGCTGACGGTCCAGACGAGCTTGGGGTGGTCCTTCTTAATGGCGTGGAAGACGTTCTCGGTGACGTTGCTGAGCCAGCCCTCCTTAGTGACGGTCAGGGTGGCGAGGGTCGGGTGAGAGCGCTCGGCGTTGGGGGGCAGGACGATGGCGAGGCAGTTGAGGGGCTCGTCGTAGTAAGCCTTGAAGGGAGTGCCCTTGAGGAACTCGATGTAGCGGTCGACGGTAGCCTCGGCATCCATACCCTCCCTGTCACGGATGAGGGTCTGCTTCAGCTTGGCAAGGTCGGGGAATGCAGCAATGCTGTCGGCAGACTCGATCTTGTCGCCGCGGCGGATCAGGGTACCGGCACCGGAATCGGTGAACAGCTCCTTCTGCAAATCACTAGGGTGGATGATGGCAACGCTCGAGGTTCTCGGCAGAGTCTCCAAAAGCTCCTTGATCTCCTTGATCTTGAGGCGCGTACCGTAGCGGCACCAAGACTGGGACATGAGATGGTCGTACTCCTCGTCGAGGTTGATGTGGGAGATCTTGTCGCCAGTCTCGCCGTTGAACAAGCCGCCCTTCTCAGAGAGGTAGACGATCTTGAGGGGCTCAAGCGCGCGGGCAAGCTCGGCGGCGGCGACGTCGGCGTTGACGTTGAGGATCTGGCCCTCGGTGGTTTCAGCCATGGAGGTGAGGATAGGGACGTAGCCCTGCGAGATGGCGAGCTCGACGGGGGCCTTGTCGACGCTGGTGATCTTGCCGACCAGGTTCCACTTCTCCTTGTCGAGGTAGTCGGCGGTCAGGACGGTGGTCAGAGGACGGGTGCGGACACCGAGACCCTCGAGCTTCTCGACGAGCTTCATGTTCTCCTGGAGGAACAGCTTGCGGGCGACGGTGAGGGTCTTGGGGTCGGTGACGCGGATGCCCTCCTCGAACTCGGGCTCGACGCCGGCCTCCTGGAGAAGGCGGTTGAGCTGAGGGCCGGCACCGTGGACGATGACGGGGTAGAGGCCGACCTCGTAGAGGAAGGCAATGTTCTCGCACAAGTCATCGAGGTAGTCGGTGAGGATGGCACCGCCAACCTTAATCACGGCGAACTTCTGGGAGGAGACGGAGGTGAAGTAGGAGAGGTATTGCTGGCCCTCGCGGCGGCTGCCGATCTGGCTCAGGGTCCTGATGATGATGGCTCGGGTGCGGTCGCGGTTGGCCTGCTCGGACTGGGAGCTGGTGCTGGACAGGGCGCGGATGGCATTGAGGCGCTGGAAAGGGTTGGCGCGGGCACCGGCGACGGCTTGACGCTGGCGGACAACGCGAGGAACGGCTCGACGGGCGCCGGCCCGGAAAACGGCAGAGGTTGCGGAGAGCATCGTGGCTACTGGGACTGGACGGCAGACAGGTCAGCCCATTCTGTGGCGGCGGCAGTGGTAAAGGTAGTGTAGTATGGAGGAGGGGTTTCTGCGCCGAGCCGATGTCGCGCACAACACCGCATTGGCATGATGTGTGTTTTTTTCCCGCTCTCATTTTCCGAGAGTCAGAGGGCAGGACGCAAGCTACACACCTCTTTCGAATTGGAACACGTCAAAACGTCGGTGGATTGGTCAGGCAGAGTATGACTTCACACTGGACTGTACACCTCAGCAGACCCGGACAAGCGAGCTACCACTCTCTTGTCTGTCTCTGTCTGTTTCTTGCTCTTTGGCGGGCCAGCTGGATTCGATAGCTGGTCAATTGGCGACGCCAACGAGGGAACAACAGGCTCAATTGGCAGCCCGGGGCAGAAAAGACGAGTTGCGGACGGGGGAGAGCAAGCAAAGAGGGACTATGTTCGGGGAGCGGGAGGGGAGAAGGGCAGGAGTCGGGAGCAGCAGCGAGGCTTTTTACTTTTTGAGGCCTGCGAGACTATGACTGGACTGGACGTCGTGGTGGGCGGGTGGATGGTGGGCTGCTGCTGCTTGCTTGCTGTGGTGGGCAGGCCTATGTGGGCACTTTGGTCTGCGTACAGTATGATGCAGTGGAGGTGTTGGAGGAGGGGCAGGGGGGGCTCCGAGCGCGCGAGCACTGCACCGGCGCTCACAGCCCGTAAGAAAAAAAAAAATTGACCGAAACCGCTCACAGGCGGCAGGTCCGCGCCCTTTCTGCACCTCACCTCTGCGGCTGCAGCTGTCTGTCGCCGGGTAAGGTACTTGCGCACTGTGACCAGGGCAGTGTGGGTGACTGCCAGAGTGGGCTGTGGCACACTGTGGCCCCCCTCCTCCTCCCCCCTCCCCTCAGTGTCTCCTCCCCTCCAAGTGTGGCTCCTCGCCCGCCCAGCGCAGCCTCTCATTGCTCTGCCCTGTGGCTCCGTCGGCCAATTGGGTCGACAGTCCGGTTATTGATCGGATCTGATAAGGAATCTGCCGGTACGTACCCATCACCAAGTCCTGCGGGAGGAACGTTGAAGACACTAAAAGAGGCAGCATCTGCGGCAGTTGCCCTGGTAAAGCAATTACTTGAAAATTTTCATCTTGCCCGGTGGGGAAGGAGGCACACAAGAAGAAGCACGCAAGCTCGAGCCGAGGCAGCCACGACGTCGCAACCTTCCAAGAATCGACAAGATCAGTAACTGGCAACACACCCCAAGGTGACTGAGATGATGAGATGATCAGAGGCTCGTAGGCGATGAAGTTGAAAATAACTACACGACCACAAGAAAGACACCCAATCTTAACATGGAGGACGCAACAGTAGCGTCAGTACCAGCAGCAACCTCCCCGTCCCTCTGGGCCGTCTGTTCCCAGGAACCGGTGGGAACATGCAAACAGCGGAAATGCAACTTTAAACGCCTCCTCGGTTCCGTAGCCAAGCTCTTGCAACGCCGACGGAACGGCGATCCCCTCCGAGCTTTGATGAGACGAACCTGACCCTGAACCCCCCGAACGCCGGCCGCCCGTTAAGCTTGCATTTGATACACCGCTCGACATCGTGGATCCCGTCCCCTCTTCCAAGGATACTATCCTGCGTAGTGCCTCCCTTGTGTGATTCCGTTCGTCCACACTGCATATGCCCATCGGCTGTCCTGCCGATGACTTTGGGCCACGACGTTTCAGGGCCCCGTCTCATTCGGCCAAGACACCCTTGATGACTGGAGAAAAAAGGTGAAGTTCCCTCTTGAGCACGTCGTTCGGCTGCACGTCTCGACACCCCCCTCCATCTCGGACTACCTCCATACGACGTAATGGAAATTAAGGCGCTTATGGGTATCCGTATCGATCGTGAATCATAGACTCGGGGACCGACTGCACCGCGCCCGTTGTAGATCACTTTGCAGATGCTGCCATGAGGTGCATAGGTTCGTCACACGATGACACGATACTAACGATACACAAGCCTTCTTTGGCAGATTGACATGGAGGAAGCTTCTTTCTTGTTCTTAGACATGTCACTATCTCGAGATGCCAAAATGCAGACATGGGCTTCCTCAGTTCGCGACACGGTGCATCATCCTCCGACTCCCGCCCCGAAGTATGAAATTCAGGAAATGCTGATTAGCTGCAGGGCATCACCAAAGATAATCCACAGGTTCTTCGCGAAGAGACGAAAAGACACATGTTCAGGGCCATTTAAGAATTCAATTACGCAAACGCCTGCCATCCCTCATACATACATGCGGTCGATCCGCAGCCGAACTGACCGGGCCGACTGCACCGGAGCGGGTTCCGTAGCCGGCCGACGGCCTCTTGCATGCAGACCATCGAAGAAGATCGGAGTCCGTCTCGAACAACCTCCGCCCCTTTCCCAAGTCATTATCCCATAGAGTTGGCCCTGTGTGCCGACTCTTCCCCTAGTCTCCCACGGTTGCTCGAAGCCTGCGAGATATCTGACGTTTCATTCCATATCATGAGGACGGACCATAACCATGGACCCAGGGGGTCGTGTGATGCAAAAATGGTGGTATCTAGTTACTTGCGGGTAGCAACAACTGGGCGGGTACGTTAGCGGGTTGCAACGACTACATTGCAAAACTAAGATTAGAGCCGGACGAGTTTGAAGAAATGCGAACCATCCAAAGGAAAGGCGCACTGGGAGGAGAAATACGCACCCGCTGGAATGACAATGATGAGGATAAGGATGATGATGCCGGCAATCAAGCACATGCGCATCTTGACGTCCTTCCACCACATCTGCTTGCGGACGCGGTTGGCGCCCCGACGGAAGCCCTGGGCCGAGACAGCCAGGTTGTCGGTCTTATCTTGCAGAGCATCAAGACGCTCGCCTCTTTGGGAGACCTTGTTGATGTTCTCACGCATCACGCCGACGGTGTCGTCGATTTGCTATAAATAGAAACGTCAGCACATGACTCTGGTGACACGGTTACGAGCGCGCAGTTAGCGAAACGGATCCGGCCCCTGATTGCGACGCCGACGACGGAAAAACGCGAGAATCGGGTTTTCGAGCGGCGAACGACGGAGAGAATTGCCGTCGGGTTCCACGACGACTGCTGATGGAATCCGGTCGATGCAGTCTTCGCCGTTGCCGTCGCGGTCGCTGATGTCGTCACAAGGCTAAGAGACTGGACACCCGCATAGCCAGACAGGGGCTGAATTTTTCCCGTCGCGATAGCAAGCCCAACAGCGACTATGCATCGTCCCTCCGTCAATCGCCGCCATTTTTTGCCGTGGTCATCGCGATCAGCGGGTTGTGCTGGTGAATTGTTGTGATGACCCAATCAGGCGTCATCGGCGACATGTTCAATCGGGCGGGTAGCTCGGTCGGGTCGTCGTCATCAGGCGTCGGACAATCCGGGGCAACCAACGATCCAGTCCATCGACAGAAAAGCGAGCTCGGTCAAGAAAAGCATCGCAACTTACAGCCTGCAAAGCCTGCGTCCTCGCATTGCCGCCAGCTCCTTGCTGTTGCGCGCCGCCGGCGGCCTGGCCGCTGGGGATGTAGGGGTCGTAGGGGGCGTCTTCGGGCATTGTCGCTGTGGTGACGGAGGTGCGAGGAGGGTATGCGAGAGACGTCGACGCGGCAAGCGGGTCGATTAAATGTGTTTCGGAGTTGCGAGATGCAAGATTTAGAATTCGGTGATGGCCGGGAGTTTGTTGCTCGAGGCAGATGAGGATCGGTAGCAGTAGTTTGGTAGGCGGTCGAAGGTGTAGTGTGGTTGGAAAAAAAGAGGAGAAAGGACGGGTGGTTGGCGGGCGTGGGAGGTTGATGAGGTGGTTAAGTTCAGGTGATGAGACGTCTTGGAAAAGAGGCGAGAGCCCGGCCGAAACAAGGTGTCCGTCTGAGGATTTGGGGGAGGGATGCGCAGTGGCACAGCGCTTGAGGACGAGGTGCCTGCTGAGGATGCTGGGGGGGCCGGAAGGAGGGAAGCTGCTGGCAAGCCAACTGGGCCACTAATTTTAGTTGAGCTGGGAACGCCCAGCCACTGCGACAAACCTCCCTCCTCCAGCCTGGCGATGGATGAGTGAGTGATTGTCTCGAAGGTTGCTCGCTCTTGATTCCGACAGGACATGTCATCCCGAGTTTACTTTGCTGTTCATTGCCATGTTTCCCCCTTGCCTGCGATTTCCTGCTGTTCTCTTGGGTTCTCCCCTCGTTGCTTTTGTCCCCTTTGTCGCCGTCTTTGGGATGCGCCGTGATGGGGAATACCCCCTTCCCTTGCCCACGAATACCCGGTCTCTTATTCAGACCCAGAGCACCGGAGCGAAACAGAAACCACAGCGCGGCAGCTCCAGCACGGCCGCTGTTGGAGAGTGGGAGTGGACGAGACTGGGGGACGGCGCTCGCTGGACTCTGGAGCAGCACCTGAGGGCCAATCATGGCTGGCGTTTCGAGCAAATCACACACAGGCTGTGCGGTACGTATCGCTCTGCAGCGACCTCCAACCCCCGTCCGGTGCCTGGGGAACCCGGAAAAAGTGGATAACTCGAAGTCGTGAACACTGAACGCAGTGGCTCGTCGCCTTTAACTCAAAAGTGTGCCCGACTTTCCATAAACATGACAAAGGCGCCGCGATGGATGTTCCCTGGACCAAACAATCTGGAAGCGTGTCTCCGGGACAGCACAGCCATTTCCTCGTCATCTCTGCAACACAATCCGATGGCCGGCACGGCGACGCCTTGAGGTCGCAGTCTGTCAATGAGTGTCTGGTCACTGGTCACGCATCCCTCATGCCAGGGACCACCATTTCCATGGTTACCTTGCCTTCCCTGCTTTGCCTACCTCCGTATGGATACGAACAATACAGCACTGGATGATCGGACCCTGCCCTGCCAGCCAGCCAGCCTGGTGCCTCTTTTCCATCGCCTTCGCCGGTCGCCGTCTCCATCCGCCTCAATCGTATGCCTCGCGCGTATTGAGTTGGGCTGAGGAGGGCTGGGCAGCTAGGGAAGCTGTGCAGGAAGGAGGCGTTTTCACCAACCAATGCCGTAGATTCGCGGCTTCTGATGTAATCGTCGAGGCGGTGCTGCGCATTCGTCACTGCTGCTGGACTGGACCTGGACCCCGACGGAGCTGAATTGGCCCGGAGAGTTGGCCCCTTCCCGTCAAGGCTCTTCATGCCCGGCGGCTGGGACCAGACGACGGGTCACTTCGGTGCACGTGAAAGCGTCCCACGTGATTCCAAGAATCCCACTCTCTACCCGAAGCTTACCCGATTAATGGTGGCTGACGGCATCAGGCCCGCTTCTATGTGGCACTGTTCTGTGGCTTTGCTATTGCCCAGAATCCTCTTGGCTACTGTCATTCCAACAACCATTGGATTCCATCAGCGTTTGAATGCGCGGGCTTCTGTTTGGTGGCCACGAATGCAACATATCTTCATCTGCCCCTGATCGACGGGAGTCTGTCTGTCTTGCGAGATTCAGGCCCCTCGGTTGATCTGCTCTCAACGTTCAGACCCTGGCCGCGCAATCACATTTTGCGGTGCTCAACCGCCAGGAAAAGCACCGGTCAAGTCCGGCCAACGTCGTTGAGTTCGACGTTGGCTCTGTCGGACACGGAACGCTTCCCGTTGAGAAATGAACTGAAAAAAGACCATTCGCCTCCGTCGCACGTTGTCAGCATTCGTCGATGCAACCCGAAGCAGGAGCAGCAATGCGAACAGCCACGTCGACATACGTTGTAGCGAAGGCGCACCCTGCGATTCGCAACCACAGAATCATCTCAGCCTAACCACACAGCGCGGTTCCCGTTGGAGAGCTCGATTTCAGAGATACACGGCTGAAGCACTCTGCAAGCGTTAGGCTGTTTTGCAACGCCCTCCATCCGCCCTGAACTGTTGCAACACGGTTTCATCGGCTTTCGAGTTGAACGTCGTCGGACGATGGAAATCTCAATTTTAACCGTTTGCAGAAGCCAACGAGGCCGATCAGGTCAATCATGATTGTCCCATCAAGTCATTTTTCGAGGAATGGAAAACTCCGAGAACAATTTGCGCCTCCCACACACAGCAATGTCGCAAGATGAGGTTCAATGCCAGAGCCCCTGGCGATGACAAAGCCCCCCGTGTCCAGATGCCCCGCTGGCATTCCGTTTCTCCGTTGCCTGGGCCGACGGCCGTGCTGCATTCCTTAAAAGATGCTTATTCGAGATTAGCATTGCACTCGCCATGCAAAAGCCTGACTAACGGCCACCCTCACGAACGGTGGACTCGTGGTTTCGTTGATTTTGGCCGCTCTGCTACGGGTGGTCGGGGGTTGACACCACAGGAATGGGGGCAGACAACTGGTACTTGGCTTGACCGTTCACGAGTATGAGCTTACCGCTCGCACCAGCGCTAAAGCGTTACGAGCTGAGAGCGGCTTGAATTAAACGGGACCTGTCGATGTCGATGCGCCGCTAATCGGCCGAGTGGCGTGTTTGATTGTTTTCTCAGGACATCATCGTCTTGATCGCATATGTTGGCCACGCCGACGAAGATGGAAGTCTGAGGTCCCCGTCCGCAGCGGAAAATCTTGGCCAACGCTCAACTTTCCCCGCTCGTTTTACCGCTCGACGTTCTCGTCCCTTGGCGATGATGAGCATGCTGGCTGCAATACGACGGCACGGCAAAGGCCTGGACGTTTCGTTGGTTGTCGGGCTTGGCCGCCCTGCCCACTGTCGAGTCCGGGATCATCGGCACTGGGGCCTGGCAGCCAGCGACCAGGCCCCCAGAGCCTGCTGATCACCGACGTCAACCAGTCCAGTTTTTATTCAAGCTGGATTCCAAGCGGCTTTCCAACAAACACTACGACCGCACCGCATTGCACTGGTGACAGGACGGGGTCGCAGCGCAGAGCTGAGAAGACGGTTGGGCAGACGCTTCGAGCTACAAGCCGACTCAGCTCGAGCATCTCCCTCTCTGTTTGTCACGGCCAAACTCAGACAATAGAAGCCATGGCTTCGACAGACTATAGACGAACCCCAGGTTTGTCTGATAAGAGAAAATTGGCGGGAAGGGCAGAGCTGGACGCATCAATAATTAGTGTTTCTTACAGGGCACAAGACAGCCAGCGGGACCCGAAAACGTCACCGCATCACCTTACGTTGTGCAGGCTGGGGGATGCCAGCGACAAGTCAGCAGGGGACAGCACCAAGCTCATGGGATGACAAGGGTTCGGACTGCAGCCGGCTGGGGACATGATGAGATGGTGCACCACCACATGCACGCCGAACAAGCTTAGCTGCCAATGCCAACGCTAGAAGCAGAAACAAGCAAGGAAGGCGGCCAAAGCCCAGGGCGGACCAGACGGCAGGCGGGAGTGATGCAAAAAAGATGGGATCATAACACAACACGCATAACACTACGCAGCCCAGCGGCGGCGAGGAGTGTGAGACAGCTACCTTTACGGCTGGAAGGGGGCCAGTCTTGCTATTCAACTGGTTGCGCGCTTTCTCCTGACTGATTTCCCCAGTCTTACCAGTCCCGAAATGCTCTCGTTTCCCATGCCTGTGTTTCTGTTTAGCTCTGTCTCTGGCCTATTTGTTTTCCCCCGTTTCAGTCTGCGAGAAACGGAGGCAAATCTCGTCTTTGGTCTTTGTATTCGTACACACATACTTATGTACCTACGATTAACCCTTTACTCGTATTGATGCTGCTCCGAAGAGGAAGCTATTAGTGGACCTCCGCCGCTCACCTTCTCTTGCATGGTCTCTTGACTGGTCTCGTTCCGTTCCCTCGATCGCTCCTGACCAAGCAGCTCGTATTTACCCTTGGGGGGCAGCCACTCGTTTTCCTCTTTGCAGTTGCACACCACACCTTCTTTCTTTCGTCGGGTGGAAAAGTAACCCGGTGGAGGCCAGCGCAAGTCCACCGTCATCACTCACTCCTTCTCAGTCTTTCCCCTCATCATCCCCTCCTCGTGGCTGCTTTGGTTTGGCCCTGCACGATCCGACGGCCAGACTGACAAGGTGCCACTACTTCCTTGGGGGCGTCCAACCTGCAGGAAACTCTGCACTCGCCATTGCATCCCTACATACAAGTACACCTACCTTCCCAAGTGTGAAGGTGTTGCTTTGCTGTGTGCTGGACGACAACCTAACCGCAAGACGAAGCAGCAAGCACCCTTGACTTGCTCCATCACCTCGCAAACGTGGCTCGACTACCCATGCGCACGCCCTGCTGGCTTCGTTTGCGCTAAGGATTCCTCCACCTGATGCAATCAATTGTTGGCTGGTTTCTTATTTCAACCTTGAGGTGCCCGCGCATCCCTCTTTTTTGGCATTTAGTCTTCGACTGCCCCCCGGTTCTTTGGATCTAGAGTTCCGTCTTTCATGCGGTCCGTCCCTTCAAGCCAAGGACCCCTCACGCACCAACCTCCGACATCATGGCCGCACTGCGGGGCACGTCAACATGGTCTGTAAGCCGGCTGTTGTCGGCCTTGCTGCTGGTCTCTACCCGATTCACCACTGCATACGACCTGGACGTGAATGATCCCAGTCAGTGGCCTTAATCCGCCGCTCTCCACTTGTTGCTAACATGTCTGTAAGGCAATGTCAAGTCCATCGCCAGGAAGATGACGGAGGATCTCATGTCCTTCTACGACGGAGACAAGCCGGGGAAGACACCCGGTCTCCTTCCCGACCCATACTACTGTAAGTGGACTGCTTGGTTATTCGGCTCATTGGCTGACATCGCTTTAGGGTGGGAAGCTGGCGCTATGATGGGTACGATGATCGACTACTGGTACTTCACAGGCGACGATACCTGGAACGATGTTGTCACCCAGGGCCTCCTCCACCAAGTCGGCAAATTCAACGACTACATGCCAGAGAATCAGACACGAACTGAGGGTAACGACGACCAGGGATTCTGGGGACTCGCCGTCATGTCGGCTGCCGAGCTTAAGTTCCCCGACCCGCCCTCAGACCAACCTCAGTGGCTTGCCCTCGCTCAGGCAGTCTTTAATACACAGGCCGCTCGATGGGATCCGGATCACTGCGCAGGTGGACTGAGGTGGCAGATCTTCCAATGGAATAACGGATACGACTACAAGAACACCATCTCACAGGCCTGCTTCTTCGCCTTGGCCGGTCGTCTCGCGCTGTATACCGGTAACTCATCGTACGCGGAATGGGCCGACAAGACCTGGGATTGGATGGTAGGCGTCAAGTTCATCTCGGACGATTACTATGTGTACGATGGCGGCCACATCCAGTACAACTGCACGAACATCGTACCGTATCAATGGACCTATAACGCTGGCGGCATGATACTCGGAGCAGCAGCCATGTACAACCACACCGGCAGCGAAGTGTGGAAGAACAGGCTTGACGGCCTGATGAAAGGTTCCGATGTGTTTTTCGTTGGTCCGGAAACCAACATCATGCAAGAGGTGGCATGTGAAACAGTCGAACTTTGCAACCTTGACCAGAGATCCTTCAAGGCGTACCTCAGCCGTTGGATGGCTGCCATCACCAAATGGGCGCCGTATCTTCATGATCGTGTGATGGACAAACTCCGCCCATCGTCGATCGCCGCCGCAGCCCAGTGCAAGGGTGGCTCCAACGGTCGAATGTGTGGACTGAAGTGGACAGAAAACGGGACCTGGGATGGCATGCAAGGCGTTGGAGAGCAGATGGCGGCCCTCGAGGTCACACTCAGCAACCTCATTGACGAATCGAAAGCACCGGTCACTGCGGGTGGCGGCGGAACCTCTGTGGGCGATCCAGGTGCCGGTGGTAATGACATTGGCCGAACAGTTCCTGCCGTCGCCGTCCTCCCGCCTCTAGGTCCCGGCGAGACGGCTGGAGCAGCAATTCTGACCTTCATTGTCCTTGCGTTGTTAATCGCTGGCATCATCTGGATGTTCATGGATGAAACGTCAGAGAAGTCTCTCCAAGAGCGGTTCTTTGATTTCAGGTCTGCACTCCTTGGTGGTGGCGCCATCGCAGCCTTGTCCACAAGAAGGAAGACGGATGATTTGAATGAGAAGGGCAAAGGAGTCGATCGTGATACTTCAAGTGACGGGAGAAGTTCGCGCGACCACGGTATTATTACACCCTTACCAACAAAAGCCCACGCCTTCGACGACGGGAGACAGAGGGGCAGTATGGTGTCCCAGATGTCGGGTGCCACAGACGTGGCGGGCATCCCGATGGTGAGAGAGAAGAGGCTGAGCAGAAAGAGCAGAAACCCTGCTTTGCGGAATAGTGTGGCGTCTCAACAGTCGGCTCGGATCGAATAATTCACGCAAGGTGCGTGATAATGCTCTAAAACGTTGCAGGATCCAGGCGGTGGCGCACTGGGTCTGGTTTTCTTTCTCAGACGGCGTTGTATCACTTTCGGAGCCCGCGTTGGGCCTTACCTTTCTGGAACATACTTGGATTTCGACATATGCATTGGGTCGAGCATCATCTTGCATTGATTGGGGGATAAAGAATGAATATCGGTTGACAGACAGGATCAGCTTAAAAGCCGACACAACCGGAAGCAACAGAAAAGCCTACGACCTTATGACGAATGGTACATAGATAGATGATGCCAAATATAACGAGACGACCTAAGGTCGTTATGCCCTCATTTGCGAATCTCGTGAGAATTTTCAGGCTGTGCCTACCTCATCCGCCAGCTGGAGTGGTTGAAATAGCCTAATGGCGGCTATGTTATGAACAACAAGAGGTATTCGCACCTCATTCAACATCGTGATCATGACTATTCTCTTGGCTAAGCGCTCGATATGAGACGCTTGATTAGCAGTATGACGATTCCAATTCTCGATCCTCTAGCCGACATGGACAAATCCCACTCGTCGGAGTAGATTACTGATCCCTGTGACCCCCTTACCCAGACGCAAGAAGAGTAAGAGTGCGTACCAGCTACAATCTGACGTGAGAATCTACCAGTAGACTGGATGGAGGGTCTCTGAAGAGTCCACGGTTAGTAATGAGATGAACGGGATGTAATTTGGCTGTCTTGATTGGCTGGTCTTTCCGGCTTGGTTGGCCAGATGATTGGGAGAAAGGCTTTCTGATGGATGCGGTCTCCAAGTAGATTGCACAGCTTACTGTTTCAACACGCGGTGGTTTTCGCCGAGAAATCTTGGAGTTTTAAGTGAGGTATCATGGCAGGGTATTCTTGGCAAGTGCCCAGCGAAACTATTGTGAGAGATGCGACTTGGCTGCGTGTGCTGGAGAGACGTCCCGGAGGTGATTACTGATGTTCGCGGACGCGATAGCCGGCTGTGTTGTGGGCGTGAATGCCGCCAAGACCGCCGCCGAGAGCTTCCGGCCCCCAACCCAGGCCGCGGACCGGGGCCGGGGCAGATTACGCCCCCGTCCGCCGAAACCGAACGACGGCGACAGACGGCGAGCGGCCCCCGGGTTATCGTTGAGAACGGCTTAGCAATTCGATCCCCTGGGGAAGCCGGATCCCTACAATACCTCGGACCAGCCCCGCCGGAGAAACCAGATCTGTGACATCACGCGCACAAAGGGCCCATGGTAAGATAAACTTGGGCACTGACATTAACATTTAACATCTGAAAAGGAGGCGGAGTAGCCCGTTCGTACCAAGGGGTTGGCTCGCGGTAACAAAGGTGGGTAACTTTCATCGAACAAACTTTCCAGCCGTCCCGACGGGTCTGAAGGTACGAACATGGTCTCGGCGACGGTTCCCTGGAGAACTGCTGTCGCTGGCCCAATCCGCATCCAAATTCAAGTGGGTTTTAGGTTTGATAACAGCGGTGTATTGCTGTAGTTCTTGGCTGCGTAGAGTTGTTGATTGAAGCGCTTTTGCATATGCGCCGGAGCGGGAGAGATGCAAAATAACGAATGCGAAGAAAGGTGTTGGGGCGAAGTTCATTGTTTGCTTGCTGTTTGCCCTTTACCCCAGGCCAGACTACGACGGCATAGCCAGAAGCTACTTCACGCCACCATCGCCGGCTTTCCGATCTAAGCTTGGCCCTTCTTTTTTTTTTGTCTTCCCGAATGAAGCAGACTTCCCTTCTTCGGGAATATTCCCGCCAAGGGCTGAGGGGAGCTAATCCCAAGTTCAATTGGCGCGGGCGCGATCGTAATCAGCCCTGCGCGACCGTTTATTGGGGGAAGGCTTGCTTGGAGCTGATCGCGCCCAGACTGACGATGTTTGTGTGGGGGAAGAACAAGGGTTCGTTCAGTAGGGGTCACCGGAACTCCACGGGCTAGAGACGATGCGGTGTGGCGCGTCTTTACCAGCAAACCACATGTTCGCGAGAAAGGAGGTTGTGGCACAAGCAAATCCAGCAAACAGCGCGCATCTGATCGTTGAGGGGGGAGAGATACCTAGCGCTCTCCAGGGATGGGCATGTTACATCACTCCTCCGCCCGTCCCCTCGCCTCGGCAGATGGCCCCCCAGCTCCTCCGGTGTGGATATAATGGGTGACGGCTCCGTGTTCTTTTTTTCTGATTACTCTATGATGCCGAGGGAAACGTCGTATTTCCAAAGGTTGGGAACGTTTTTTTAGGCTTTTTAAAACTCGAGGGAAAAGTAGTTAGCCTTTCCCCCCCAGCCGCCATTTTACTACCCCTTAGCCTTTGTCGTCTGATGATATATCCTATTTCCATCGGACACCCCGGCACGGACGTTTAGGAACGTCAGCGCAACACTGACGGCGATTCAAAAAAGCTGGAGAAGGTCCGTTGAGGGGTAAGTGAAGCGGACGCGAAGATATAAAAGACTGCTTCGTCACATCTCGCGAGTCGAAATTCTCTCGACGGTATTAGCGAAACGACTTCATCATGGCGCGAGAATACCTCTACCTGGCCTCGTCGGCTGTCCTGGGGACATACGTGCTCTGGACAGCCGCCGAGACATACCTCGCCCACAGCGGCAGACCGCACCTCTCACCCTCTCACGACCTCGCATTCCCCCTCCTCGCCGCGCTCTTCACCCTCCCGACGCTGGTGCTCTACCGGAAAGCGAGCTACCTCCTCAAGATGAAGGCGCGCGGGTGCGCCGAGGCGCCGAGCTTCCCGCACACGGACCCCATCTTCGGCAGCGACTGGGTGCGCGCGTCGATGGCCAAGCAGGAGGAGCACGGGCTGCTGGAGTGGTGGGAGACGGTGTTCGACCGGCTGGGGTGGACGTGGTGGGTCAAGACGCCCGTGACGTGGGTGCTGATGACGACGGAGCCGGAGAACCTCAAGACGATCCTGGCGTCGGGGTTCCAGGACTGGCCGATCATGGGGCCGCGGCGGGATGTGATTGCGCCGATTCTGGGGGAGGAGGCCATCTTTGCGGCGAACGGGCAGGCGTGGCATGACGCGCGCGCGATGATGAGGCCTACGTTTGTGAGGAACCAGATTGCTGATTTGGCGTGTTTTGAGAGGCATGTTGGGAATCTGATCAAGCGGATCCCGAAGGATGGGCAGACGGTGGATTTGCAGGGGCTTTTGTACATGATGACCATGGACTCGGCGACGGATTTCATGTGAGTTGCTTGGGGGAGTTTGTGGATCGCAAGACTGATGCGAGAACAGGTTTGGCCAGTCTACGTCTATGCTCACAACACCATCAGCTGAGGCATCCGAGTTCACGGCCACCTTCGAATACATCCTCACCCGCTCAGCCATCCGCTCCCGTTTGGGTCTGTTCACCTTCTTGGATCGGGACAACAAGTGGGATGAGGGACTGAAGATCATCGACAACTATTGCGACAACTACATCAAGCGTGTCAAGGCCGAAGAGAAGGACCCCGAAAGAGCTTACGTATTTCTGCACCAAATGATGGACCAGGGTACTACCCCGGAGTTCGTGCGCGGGCAGCTGCTTTCCATGATCCTCGCGGGTCGCGACACCACGGCATCGACGCTCTCCGCGCTCTTCTGGATCTTGGCACGAAGGCCCGAGGTGGTAGCCCGCCTGAGAGACGAGATCGAACTAGAGCTCGGTGAGCGGCAGCCGACGTGGGAGGAGATGAAGGATATGAAGTACCTCAACATGGTGCTGAAGGAGAGTGAGTGATGCCAAGGTTGAATGGACGTTCAAGAAGCTGACGACGACGACCAAAGTTCTGCGGCTGTACCCGACAGTTGCGACCATGTCACGCGGCGCAGCGCGAGATACCACCCTCCCAGTTGGCGGTGGGCCCGACGGCAAATCGCCCGTGTTCGTTCCGAAGGGGACACTCGTACGTTGGTCCATGTACATCACTCATCGGAGAAAGGACATCTGGGGTGAAGATGCCGACGAGTTTCGTCCTGAGCGTTGGGAGGATCGTCGCCCGGGGTGAGTTACTTCCCGTCTTATCGTCGATGATCCATTCGTTGTCGCGAGAATTGAGTGCTGACGTGTCTGCAGTTGGGATTACCTGCCCTTTTCTGGTGGTCCAAGGATTTGCATTGGCCAGCAATTCGCTCTGACACAAATGGCCTACTTCGTTGTGAGAGTCTTGCAGACGTTCAAGACGATTGAGCCGAAGGATGAGAGGCGGTTGGCTCAAACCGTGGGCATCACGACCAAGCTACCGCATGATGTTCTCCTAAGCTTCACACCGGCTTGAAGCAAGCTTTGTAGATCTTTGAACAGATTATGATAATAGATACGGCGTTTGACCCCACACTCGGCATGATGAATGGCGGATCGCTCCCCGATCGAGATGGCATGATGGCAGCGGCTGTCTGCGCCTTCTTCGCATATGTGCAGTGGGCTGCCTGGTCCTGGGACAGACAGCCTGTTAGACCCAAGTCGAACTTCTTCAGTGGCTTGCTTCCCGCGTGCGAGGCTTGCAGTAACAGAACCTCGACGGGACTGACGTTACACAATGGTATGCAAGCAGCATATGTGCGTCCCATCTCGGCATGCAGCCGTCGATTCGTGATGCGGCACGACCCCAGACAGCGCGCATCTGGTTGGTCGGCGACATGCGGGATCTTCGCGCTCATCTCATGGATCGGAGCCAGGTGGGACAATCCCATATTGATGTCTTCTGGAAGCGAGAACATGTCGCTCCAAAGCCAAGGCACCGTCCCTGGAATCCCTGGATGCTAAGATCAATCTGTGTCGTGTCTCGGCCTCCAGCCAAGACAATCGTTCGAGACTGAACCCGACCGCCATAACTCCATCGTCGCTGCGGTGAAGTGGTCTTTCATGAATGACGGGAAGGTTGACGTCTGACGCGGACGGGGAACGGCTGGCTCGTGCAAGGCTGGGTAGCCAATTGTGTGCCATTGCGCGACAAGAATCGAGCTGGGAGAGACGACAAACGGGTGGAGGTTTCGGCGGGAGTGCAGAGTCCAACCAGTCAGTGGCACTGGGTTTCCGATGCGTGTAGCCGACTCGACAACGTTCAGACCTCGTCTTCCGTTGGGCAATCAGCCTGAGATTGCGTGGTCTGGGAAAAAGAAATATGGCCGCTAGCCGTTTCGACGAGTGAAACGATCTTCATTTTGTTATTGCCTGGCCCCATTGTATTAGTCACCGGGTGCTGAGAAGATGCTTTTGCAGTGTTTGCTTTCCGTTTGGTCGACTCGTATGTTGGTAGGTGATTGTGTTTGTGAGCAGTTTCGAGTTGAGCACAGTGCTCAGATATCTCAGTCCGGGACAAATTGAGAGTCGCATTCGAAGATGGACACTCGAGCTTGAGGACCAGCGCAGTTGCCGATTGAAAAGATTCATGGGCGGAATTGAAGCATAGGGTCTAGGAAAGAAGACGATGCATGTCTCTCGACTACCGCCTTGGGAAGCAGACCTTCCTCTTCGAGGTTGGGCCCTTCCCCATCTCGCTTGCTAGGCATGTCTCTCATCGGGAAGGCAGGCAAAAGACAGCCAGGCCGGCAGGGCGGGACAGGGCAGGTTCGTCTGCCAGGAAAGAGGGCAACGGGCCATCGCGGCTACCCGCATGGTGCACGCCAAGGTGGGAAGGTTTAACAGACACCAGAACTGCAAGAGCTTCAGGTTGTCCCAAGAAGAAGGAAACACGGCTTCCCGCACGGCATCTTTGTGGAGACAAGAGGCACCATCACCGTTGGCTGCTTCCTGATCTTCCACGTTGTATGCATGGTAAGGCAGCTCGGGCTCTCCTCCTCTCCCTTGGCACCGTGTTGCTGCTTGCTGACCTGATTGCTTCCTTGCTTCCTTGCTTGACTGCTTGCTCCTCGAATGGCCACCGCTCTTTCGTATTTCATCTCCCCCAGTCCCGACACTTTGGTTCTCTCCTTTTCGAATAGCCGCGCTCTTGACCATCGTCGACCTTGCTCCTCGACCGGGCGTCATCGCTTTCATGAATGATCTGAAGCGCCCGAAGCCACAAGCTTGACTCGATCTCTTCATCGAATGTAACAACAGACACTCTCTCGTCAATAAGTCACGCCATGTCTTTCTTCCAAGGAGACTCCCGTCCAGGCGAGCAGCCTGCGCCTCCTCCGCGAGCCCTGACTCCTGTCGAGGTTGGAGTCATCATCGGCACCATCACCGTCTTCTTCGCCGCCATCGGCTCTCTCTTCTACTACCGCAACCGAAAGGCCAAGAAGCGTCGTTCCGACAACGCACAACCACCATACAGGAACGACCACCCTGACACAGGCCAGGCCAAAAGCGATGGCGGATCATCTCGAGAAGCAGACCTTGCGGACCTCGAGATACCGCCTCCCACGAGGAAAAAGAGAATTTGGAATGACTCTGGCTCTGGGAGGGAGTATGAGGGTGACCGTAAGTCAACCCCGAATCAGGCCATGCCATATACTGACGATGGCGCAGTTGAGAGGGGAGAGGCATACGAAATGCGTGGCAAGGCCTAGAACTTCATTGCAAGAAGTGCAGAAAGTGCAGAACCGAAAGCCACTGCATCGGATGTGGACGCGGAAATTTGAAGGGACAGCCGGTGCTGGCTTGAACATGACGTTGCGAAGAGTCTTGAGTTGGGCCTGGTTTCGGGGAGCATTTGCGATTTGTCTCTGGTGTCATCACCTCTTGCACATAACTGGCGTTAGCTTGTCGTTGCACCATATTTCCTGCTTACTGGGGTGAAATAATACTGAATATCCACAAGATTCATTTGTGAAATCATGCAGTGAAGGAGGTATACCTGCCCCAGGGGAATGATTCGCATGGAACCTGGTGAAAACCTAATTGTGCTCGTATTGGAATATGAAGGGACGTGAAGGCCAGGGAAGTTTCATTGTCGTCATTCCCTAAGCCCACACTGCATCACGAGAGAACCAAAGTAAATAGACATTCTGAACCGCTTCGTGATCTTACCTAAACGCCGCGGATGCTACCCAACCCATTCGTCCCATGATCTACCTGGAAAAAAAAAAAAAGGAAATAGCGTTGTCCTTCGTAATGCTGCTATTGCTGGCCAGGCTTGGGCATGTAGCGACTCCTGAACGCTTGACTGATGCTGAATCTGCTTCCTATGGCGCCGTCTTGCATCTTACTCGCGAGGGCCTCCTCCAAAGCGGACTGCGTCACCGATGCGTCTGCACAACCGTCAGCTACAAACTCCCACGAAATTCATCGCGTGCGCGGGGAGAAAACCTACCGTCCAAGTCGCTGAAACTGCTACCCATACTAGGCGTACCGTCGCTCCCGTCGCGGGAGTATCCCTTGCCCTTCGAGCTGGGGCTCCTCCCAGACAACTCAGCAGCGCGGCGCGGGGACAGAGGGCCACCGCCGCCGCCAGCAGCCGGGCGGCGGTCGCTGGTCGCGGAGCTGCGTGAGATGAGCGCCGGCGAGCTGGTCGACGAGTCTGACGTCTCGGAGTGGTGGATCCTCTCCTTGCCCTTCGGGGTCCGCCGGGCGTTCCGGGGGTCGCCGCGCAGCGTGGAGCCCATGTCCTGCGCCGACGAGGCGTTGGAGGCGGACTGCGGCTTGTACTGCAGGAACGCGGGCTCGGCGTCGTCGTCGTCCTCGTCGTCGAGGTTGACGCCGCCGTCGCGCTGCTGCTGGAAGCGGGGCGGGCGGCGGATGATGCGCGACTGCGCGGGGCTCGACTCATCGTCGGAGGAGGCGGGGGAGCTGGACTCGTCCGGGGGCGAGGCGGGCTCCGGGCTGCGGGGCGTGCTCTGGATCGGAAGGGAGGAGAGGCGGCGGCGCTGCTGCTGGCTGTCGTTGGATGGCCGCGAGGTGGTGGATGGCTTGTTGCTGTTGGCCCCCGGGCGGGCGGTCGATGTGCCTTCGCCGCCGCCGCCGAGGTTGCGGGTTATGGTGCCGGCTGAGCCGTTGCGGGAGAGGTTCGGGCGGAGGGAGGTGGTTATCGGGGTCGCGGGGGTGCTGGCATCGTTTCGGGGAAGGGGGGAGTCGCGGCGGATGGAGAGGGCTGATATCGTGCGTTGATGGGAGTGCGGCTCGGCGCCGGGGATCGGGGAGGGTGCCGCGGAGCCTTTGGCGGCGGCTGTTGCCTTGCGGACCTGGGCGCGGAGCTGGGCGGTGTGTCGTTCAGTGAGATAGGCTACTTGCTGGAGGAGAAAGTCGACGGTCACGTCGAAATGGGCAGCTCTGGGGGACGGGTGAGCTTTGATGGGGGAAGTCCACGTTCGGCAGGAGACTTACAGTTCGTTCCCTGGATCGAGAAGAGTTAGTGATGCCAATATAAGGGAGCTATCGAGACCTACAGTCAATTTCCGTCTTGGCTGCGCCGGAGAGGATGTTCCATAGCACATCGTCCTTTGTGGAATCCCAGGTGACCTGCGCAGGTGGGATCGCATCAGCATCTCAGCCCCGCGACGAAGAGCCATCGGGGGGGACGGCGTCGACGGGGGATACCTACCGGAGGGGGATCCGTGAACTCGCCCCGGAGGATGGGCAGCCGAACGAAGACTGTGTAGTTGGGGTCAGTCATGCCGTACGTGTGGTCGTCATGCTTGCTGGCGTAGCTCGGGATGGTGACAGCCTTGGGGAGCTTTGAAGGAGCGCGACCGTGGGAATGAAGATGACGGAAGTGGTTTAACTCGTCGTTCCTTATCGGAGCTGCGGCAGCGATAACGGGTGCCGGATGGCACGGCCGCTGACGGCTGGCACCGGTGTGCATGGGGGCTGATGCTTGGGCCATTGTTCGGGAGCCCGTTGGCTGCGGTTTCTCAACCCTCAACCTCTTCTGGACCAAGGATGAACCTGCTTCAGAGTCACGCCATGCGATGGTGAGTTGTCAGGAAGGTAGCAAAGAATACCCAATGCCGTCAAAAGCCCGCATCTTCTCGAACGCTCTCTGCATGGCAGCACCCTGAGCCGCCCAACCCCGCTCAAGGAAGCCCCAAACCTTCACAACCGTTGCGTCTCATCATCTACACTGCACTTTGATCAGGATTATGGGCCAATGTCATTGGACGACAAGGCGAGGCTTTCCGAGACTGGGTCGCACCCTGTAGACCACGTTTGCCGGCGTGTCTTGAGGCTGAGACGCATAAAGGCCTTTTGATTCAGCCAACATGTTGGTTGAATCGACTTACTTGTGATAGAAGGAACTTGTTGATGGTTGAGAAATCGTGAGTTGAGAACGCAAGTTCCGTAGCAGTAATTGGATCTAAGAAACACTCCAGATTAGCTTCATCAACTGCGCTGATTTACCGTACAGCAAATAGCCGCTAGACCAACAGAATGACCGCCGAACACAGGCGGAAGGTCTGTCTTGCCAATCAAGAAAGCAGTTTCTACTGCTGCGGCGATAACGACTGCATGGCTGAGCTGACACAAGACACAAGAGCCTTTCAAGACTTGAGTTGTAAGTTTCGCTCGACGGCTAGACCCACCATATCAGGTTGGTCGAAAGTCTCCAAATTTCCCTGCCAACCCTGTCTGACTCCCGCCAGCCGTCGCCGACCATTGAACAACATCTCAGTGCTCGTGATCCACATGAACCAATCCGATATGGTGTAGTGGCCAACATGATGCCCTCTCATCTTGTGAGAGGTTAGGCATAGCCCCGAGTTCGATTCTCGGTTTCGGAATATTTTTGGCTCAGGTTGAAAAGAAAAGTCTTCATTTTTGATATCTTTTGTCATCCATCCTATCTGGACACTGCCCTCCGACATCGAATGCAACCGTTTTGTGAAAATGCCCGAAGAAACCATTCTTGATCGCGTACAAACATGAAAAAAAATGCCATTGACCTTAGCCGCCGCAACGTCCCCCACCAGTATCTCAACATATAACCAAGAATCTCAAGGAGATTTCACATGCAATGACCTAGATTAAATCTCAAGGGCCTTTCGGAGAGCCGCCTCGTTACGAGGGGTGAAGGAGACAGTGTACGGCTTGGGTGCAAGCACCAAGTTCCTCTTGTCGTCGACGCCGGTGAGAGGGCTCGAGTCGATGACCTCGGTCGTGGAGATCTTGAAGCTGGCCAGCATGCGCATGAAGGTCAGGTACAGCTCGCGATTGGCAAGCAGAGTGCCCGCGCACATGCGGTAGCCCATGCCGTAGGTGAACATTGGGGCTTCGGGGTTCTCCAGCCAGCGCTCGGGGCGGAAGACCTCGGGGTCGTCCCAGACCTCGGTGTCTGTATTTGTGTCAGAGATCTACCTCATAATGAGCAAGACGAGTGGGGGAAGCTTACCCATGTTGCAAGCCCAGGAGTTGAGGAACACAACGGTACCCTTGGGGATGACTTTGCCCTCAAAGACGAAGTCCTTGTTGGTCGCGCGGGGAAGAGAGAGGCGGAGGACGGTGAAGTATCTGTCAATGGTCAGACTCGAGACTCATCTCAGCTCAGAGGACAGCAAGCTCACCTCAAACTCTCACGGACCAGAGCTCTAATGTAAGGAATACTCTGGTCGTCGTTGGCGTCGCAAAGCGGGTTGTTCACGTCGTAAACCTCCTTAATCGCATCAAAGGCCTTCTGCTGGATCTCGGGGTGCTGCGCCAGGAAGCCAATCGCCCACGTCGTGACAGTCGAGAAAGTCTCAAACCCAGCCGATAGCATAGTCAAGCTGATCGACACCAGCTCGACGTCGTTCAGCTTCGCCTCCTCGTCGAGCATGACGTTCGCCTGGATGCAGGGCTCGTACGTGCCGTTGGCGACCTTCTCCTTGAGGTCGTTGTTCAGCTTGGAGAGGTAGATGTCGCGACGGCCGCGCATGCCGAGCGCGGCGCGGGTGCCCGCCGAGAAGGGGTTCCAGCGCATGAGGGGGATGTAGTCCTGGAGGTTGTCGGTGACGCTGCGGAAGCGGCTGATGTTAACCTCGACGTCGATGATCTCCTTGAACAGGGGGTCCTCGTGGCTGGGGAAGCGGAAGCCCCAGTTGAGGGTGACGGCCAGGGATAGGCTGAGGCGCTGGACGAGGGGCATAGGGTTCACGGGCAGCTTGCCTGCCTTGCCGTAGTTGAGGGCGTCCTTGAGGAACTCCTTGGTCTCGAGGTCCAGGTGTGGGATGTACGTCTTGATGGCGGGCAGGTTGAGGGCTGAAGCCGCGCCCTTTCTGCGGCGCTTGAGGGACTCATTGTACGGTGAAGTGCCGATGGTCGTACCGGCGGTGTTGGCCACGATCTTTCACGGTGTAAGCATGAGGGTGCGCTTGGTTATGGGTATGAGATGAAATACCTTGTGGAAAGTGTAGAGCTCCGGGCGTGACGCAATCGCTTGTGAGTTGTGACCGAGAATCACCTTCGCCGCGGCGGCGCTGTTGATGACCAAAACGGGAATGTTGCCAAGCTGGACTTGGAACACCGAACCAAACTCCTTCGCCCACTCCCTGTACTTCTCCGCAGCGTCATGTCTGACCTGCCACAGGTTCCCAATGAGGGGAAAGCCTTTAGGTCCGTCAAAGTTGGATAACCGCGCCTTGGAGCGGATGAACTCGTTCGCGATGACATATGCCAAAAACACCAAGCTCAGGCCCTTTGCCATGAACTCGATGGGTCGGTCTGTCGCCTCTCGGGCGAGGATCTGAAGTAGGTCCGCGATGGCCATGGTCGTAGCACTGACGGTGTTGACGAGTGGTCGACGAGTTGGTGCTGAGATGAGATCGTCTTAAGGTGATTGGATGTTCAGGAGAATGCCAACTTATGACCACCGGCCGACCCGGGGAAATTTATAATATACAATGTTTCATTGGGCGGAAGGTTCATTCACTCCCACCGGTTCAGGGAAATCTCGAAGTTTGTGTGACATCCCTCCCGGACCGTAGCGTGGTGAACGTGTGGCGGAATTGGCGGGTTCAAATTCCGCTTTCCGCGATACTCAACTTCCGCCAAGCATGAGGCTAGGTACGGCAACCTACGGAAGATGGTGTCTGATTCCACCCAAAATGTTGATATGGTAAATTGATCCCTCTCAGATATTGAATCAAGGATTGATTACTGCACTGTCTTCTTAGTTGCTGAACGACTGTGGCAATTGAAGAGATCGTAAGGAGCCGAACAATACCACCAACAATGCCATTTCATGTCATCAGTCAAGCTTAATTGTTCAACTTGCGGTTTCGTCAATGTTTCACCGTAGACAATTTCATAAAACAGACCAATTTCTGTACTGTTTTCCCTAATCGGTAGAGGGCACAGGTCAAAGTGCCCATATAGTGTTTCCAGAATTGTGCCCGCGTATAGGGTGAATTTTGCCGTAGTCTCTTTGCGGGGAGGGGGGNGGGGGGGGTGGGGTGGTGGGCTGCGTCGTAACTACAAACTCACTAAAACAGACCAAGATGCAAAAATTTCACGGCTTCATAAATGACACGAAGTAAGACATTCTCATAATCTCATTGGGTCAGGGTCTCATAACATATCTACAAACAAATGAGAAACATCCAGCATTGACGAGTCAAGAGCGTGCTCTGGCAGACTGTCATCGTGATGCCCCTCCGCGGACTCAAGCGCATCGCCGCAAATGCCAAGCAAAGGATATGAACTCGTAAAGTCTGGCGCACTGTCCATCGCGTTGAAGAAATCGCTCAGCTCCTGTGCCATCTGCACGTCGGTGATGGGCTCTCTTGCCCCAGTGTGCCAGACCTCAGACTCTCCCGCTCTTGAATCCTCCTCACCGAGGTGCGTTGTGTTATGCGGCGAGATATCGACGCCGCTTGAAGAGGGCGGGGGAGTCGCAACTGCGCTGCGCAGGGCACGTGTCTCCCTGTCCTCGGCGGTCTGGGGAGGATTCAAGCCCAGTTTTCTCCATGCAAGTCGAAGATCGCTGACCATCTTCCAAAGTCTGCTTGATACGTATGACTTGGCGCTGAGGCCGCGGATCAGATCGAGCGCGATGTGGAACTCGTCGCGGACTGCAGCGCCGTACTCTGAAGGCGCGAGTGCCACGACCAAGAAGATGACACCAAGAGCAGACACCAAGAAGTGATTGAAGCACATCTGTTGTGTCTGGTAGATGTCTGTTGACTTGTTTAACGAGTTCAACTTTTGGATGGTGTCCTTGGCGAACCTGATGAGCGACTGGACTTTGGACTTGTTGATCTTGAGGCTCGACGGAGAGTGTAAGATTGGCTGCAGGAGGAGGATCTTCATCTGGTTCGCTCGCAGATGTAACAAAAGCTGAAGTCGTTGAGGGCCTCTTGTTGGACCTGTCCATTCATTCGATTCCCATTCTGGACTGAGCTTCAGACTCTCTGGGAGCTCCTCATACCACTGACCAATCAGGTACAGCAGATAGGATATCTCGTCATCCCTAACTGCCCCCGTTGTTCGGGCAGAGTTATATGATGTGGACCAGACTTTGTTGCCGATCTGGCTGTAGGCGACCATAGCTTTGAGGTATGGAACGTCATCATCCTACAAGAGTCAGATTTCATCTTTTCACCTGTCAGTCTCTGTGGAGAGCTTACCGGCTCTGGTAGGTTTCTATCGACATCGCAATGATGCATGACGAATGGCAGGCCTGCACCGAAGCCCCACCGACGGTCTAATGTATAGACACACCAGAACAGCCTCAGCGCTACCTTCCGCGGCTCTACCTCCTTGAAGATTCTGTTGACTGTGCCTGATTGATGAAGGCCAATCTCTAAACACCAGCGAGCGGATACGCCGACTAGCCTCCAGGCCTGCAGGTCATCTCCAGTGAGGAAGCTGTAAATAGCCTATCCACGTGTTAGCAACAGTTAAATAGTCTACATGATGTGTTTGACTTACCAGCAAAACAAAAAGCATCGTGTTCTTGACGCTCGCTGGTTCCCACAACTTGTCGTGTGATGACTTCCTCACTCCGGTAAAGAGGGCTTTTCCAAGCTGGCTGGATCCGCCAGCTTCAACGATTGATCCCGCTGAAATGACCATCTTGAGTAAATCCAGATCTAACGGATCAATGACGGTGGGACCCGGCATAGCAGTAAACGCGAAGCCGTTCTGCGAACCACTGGCCATGGCCCTGTAAAGGACGCGCACATTCTCGATGATGCGAGTGATGTCAAGGAAGGGGTACTGGATGCCTATCTCAACCTCGTAGAGATTGCAGAGCCTGATGGCTTCTTTCTCATCAATCAGCCATAGAGGGTCAACGGACCCAACGCCGAACTCCAGGGGTGTGTTGATGGAAGGGGAAGGTGGTCGGGTTCGATCTGCAGACGACGAGGCACCCTGCTTATCACTATCAGTCATGGCGATGCCCTGAGCACGAAGATGTGTCCGGGCCAGACTGATGTTGAACGTGTAGCTTGCTGACGGCTGGCAGTTGTCCTGGGTTTCAGGGGGCTCAGTCGTGGGCAAGGCTTGATCTGGCCTTGCAGGATTACTGCCTGGGTCGGTGTAATCTGGTGAGATCAAGCGAGCACGAGAGGCATTGAGAGTCTCATCGAACTGGGGCGACGAGTGTGCCTGTGAGCTTGACCGTCGGTGGGGAGACTGTTGACGGAGCAGTTCAAGATCGCCCTGCAGTGAGGCAACTTGCTCCTTCAAAGACCGAATGGCTTGAGTATCACCATCGCTGCAATCGTCGAGTTAGACAGAAATCATCCGAGCAGACCGGATGGGGCTGAACTCACGTCCCACTTGCTAGGGTTTCCCTCTGCTTCTTGGAAGCGGGATAGGCACCTTTGGTGGTCAGTTAGTATCTATCAAAGCATATTCTGAAGATCATGAGCATGTGGTCTTACAGGTCAATGATTGACGTGCACAGCGCAAACAGGGGCTTCTCCCATTGCACTTGCTCTTCCTCTTTCTACATTCAAAGCTGCAGCATCACCATAACAGTCAGCCACAATGTGCCAGAAGGGCCACTGTAATGCGGTACCACTGTCAAGGGTGGTCTTACCATGCTTTGGAGATGTACTTCCCCCTTGTCGCACGCGGCTTGGCTGCAGTGGCATTTCCATTTGCGGTAGCTGGAGACCCGGAACCCGGGGCTGCTTCGGAAGTTGGCGGGTCCATGGCGGAAAGATGAAATGAGGAAAAAAGTTCGTAATCCTTTTTGCTTTTTTTTCTTTCTCCACGTCCTGCAGGCGGTCTTTCTAGGGGTTGTTGTCCGACAAATGTTGGGTGGCACAGATGGGAGGAAGAATGAGCGGAATTGGTGAAACCCCGCGGTTTTGAATGTTGGGCAGTGGCATCCTCCGCCGCACACCCCGCATAGAGCACCCCGCAAGATCCACTGTTATCCTCTCCGGGGTAGAGTTTTCAGGCCGGACGGGGAGGCTAAGGCACTCTGACGTATTGTCCGGCTCAGTGATAGCCGGGTGCTGCGTTGGTTACAGCGCTCAGCGGTGAGAACTGGCACCTCTAAGACGGGTCTTTGCTAGGGGAAACAGTACACTGCTTGTACAATTAGGAGGTAGATGCTACAACTGAGGTCTGTGAGATGTCTCGCCAACTGAGAGGCATAGAACACAATCTTACAGATACACCAACTTCAATTTTTGATTTGCAATTCTCCAATCACGATCTCGTGAACTAGCATTATTAGTTCGGATGTCAGCACCGTTCATCCCTGGCAGTTGATCTCGTGAGCCTGCATCACTGGCTCTGAGGCGGGAGGGGTTTGCGGGGCACGGAAAGACGGAAATTAGGATGTCCGGCACTTAGAGCGGAAATTCGTGTAAAATTCCGCGCAAGCACAGTGTCTTTTCATCACTAGCCTGTACTTTGCACGGTAATGCAGCCGCTGATTGCTTGAGAGCTGACTGCTTGAGACATCATGGCCAGGCACCCGGGCTTAGGAGGGGAGATTTGGCCATTTGCAACACAAGTACCGTGTTCAATATGGCTCGACGGCATCAATGGCTTTTGTTTACGACAACGACTTAAACCAGATCGATGAGGGCCCACGCAGTGTCTTTCCGTGAACAATCATAGGCAGGAGTTCCTGAGTGCGGCATAAGGAAAAGCTTCAGGTCGAGTCTCTTTCAAAGCGTGGAAGAAAAGTTTCATCATACAAGACATGAGCTTGATGCTCTCATGCTTCGATGGAATTTTGACGCATGTGGTGGTGGAAACAAAGCAAAAGAGAAATGAGTCGTACTTGTGGTACGGATTGTTATGGTTTACCTCTATCGGCCTCCTCATTGAATGAAGCACTGGATAAACACCCTTGCGACAACCAAAGTTGAAACTGTATCTAATATTCTATTTGAGATGTGTATAAGAGCTACAACATGCCAATACTCTAACATGGGAAAGCCAGTCGTGCGCACGTTTTCTCTTACATCAAATTTCATCGGCGGCTCGAAACAACCCAGCACTCCCGACTCGTCATCAAGATGCGAAGCACAGCAGCATTCACAGTACTATTCGCAGCTCTGGCATTTCTTCAAGGTGTGCCGGCGCCACCAGCATTAGCATGGATAGGCGCCGCCGCAACGTTCGGGGTTCTTGCCGGCTCGTCTACCGCGATTATCGCCGTCGGCATCAAGGAGGACGAAAAGAAGAAGAAGGAAGAAGATGAGAGAAACAAAGGCAATGGCAAACTTCACCAGTACGCGGTTAACTATGCGCACAGAATGGTGCGAGAAATTGCCGCAGAGATAAAAACCCGTCGAGCTCAGTCACTAGAGGAACCCGGCCTGGCTCCTCCTGGAGTACCTCAGTATAACTGGGACGATTGCTTCAACCAAGCCCGCCAAGCAAACATATCGATCAGAGGTCCTGTTGGTGATCATGGAATACGAGCTACAGGAGTGCCCCCTGTGTGCATGAATTTGGCCACCATGCTCGGAGGCGCTGTCAACGGCACTGGCATGCCCATTCCCTGTGGTTCGGACTGCATGGACTGGGTGAAGATGACGCCGGAATACTACGAGGGAGTAAGGAAGATGCTAAACGGCCAGACTCTAGACTTCAAGAAGACCTCCTGAAAAAGCTAGACTGCACCGTGGGCGATTGGGCTGTTGCGAGCGGAACCGCCAAAAGGACATTTAGCGAGAGCGGAACATGGTCACGTTGGATTGTGTGGCCTCTTCAGAGAACCACACAGACTTCTAATTCTAATTGAAAATATCGACACCTATGGGGAACAAACCATCGCGTAAAGTTTCTTACGGGCAAGCCAGTCCAGGAAAGACGAACTGAATGAATACCCAAATAGCAAATTTATGATATATTGTGGCGTGATTTCTCTCTGGTACAGTCCACATCGTCATGTGCTACCTAATACCTTGGTGCTTGGTGGTCCAACTCTCCAAGATGAGTTCAACTTCATCGTCCAAGGAGTCAACGATATGACTTGTTGGAAATCGCGGGCTCCAACCCAGCTTTCTCCCATGCCCGGGAGTATACGTCGATCTGGTAGAGATTATCAGTTCGTGTGATGTTGGAAGGAGGAATGAGCAACCTACTTTCCACCAACTTTGGACACCGCCGACGCCGGCTCTACATTCAACGCATCGGACATCTTCCTCAACGCTTCATCTGTGACGGGTGCGACTGTGTCATCATCAATGACACCCCGTTTCGCCATTGCTTTGGCCACAGCTGCGTAAATGTCATCCCAGCTGGCTGAGCCTGAGGAAGCTAGGTAGTAACCGAACTTCCCATGATCGGGGTTGGAGCCGCTCAAAATGGCTCTGGCCAGCGCGATGTAGAGCGACGTGTTGTCGGATATGTGGCACACCGGCCATGTCTACTCGAATAATTAGCCGGTAGAACAAAAGACATTTGTTCCGCGACGCACCTGTCCTTCAGGCCCAATCCGGTAAACGCGTCCTGCCCCTTTTGCTGCGGTGACCACATCTACCGTTTGGATGGAAATTAGGTTCCCAAAGCCCAGTCCCTTACCGTCTGTTGATGTCAGTGGTGGAGTTGATGTTGTGATATCCAGTACTTACACACAATACAGGGTGAAAAGAGTTACACCCTGACGTCGAACTTCTCGCCGGCATCAATTACTGCGCAATTAGTGGCTATAGCCTTTGGAACTCTCAGCAGGTGGTTTCAGCACATGCACATGGAATAGGAACAACATACCACCTCCATCTCCTCAACTGGCGCCTTTTGGCCTCTCTGGATGTCATACAGATTGGGATCCGTGTCCAGAAGTGGCTTGTCTGTCGGCGCACCGGCATGCTCAGAAAACTGCTTCGTCCCTGTTGTCTGAAGACCAGTTAGAAAGTACTTCCAGATACTCAGCCAAGTAAATTACTTACGTAGACAAAGTGTACTCCTCGCCCAGTTGCTTTCTTAACTTCAGCAAGAGCCTTAATGAAGCTAACGGGTCGCTCGGCACGGTAGGCATCGATCAGGTAAAATACCACGGTGATGCCGTTGTCCACGACAAGACTCCTGATATCGCCTTCCTCAAGGCTACATCTGACAGGCTCAGCGCCGTAGAGCGACTTTACTGCGGCAGCTTGCGAATCGGATCGCACCAGTGCGTACAGCTTGTCATAAACCTCAATATTTGCATCCGCCCATGATGCAAGTAGCGATCCACCAAGATAGCCTGAGCCGCCAGTGATGAGTACGTTCGTCATTTTGTCTTGAGAAAAAAGCAGATCAAGTTTAATGAAGCGATATCCCAAACGCAGTTGGCAAACAAGGTTGCCCAAGCTGTCTCATACCAGAGATGCGAGCAATGCGTCGTGATTGTTAATCAACTCATCGGAATCAATATTCGTAATCAGACCTCTAGTTTGGTGAAATATGTTACAACAAATTGGTGGTCGTAGCTTGAAAGCAGATGTCAATGTTGTCATATTCCCCACACCACGTTAAGTAGGCTTCTTCGGCTTCTAAGAGGGCAGTGAATAATTGAAGTCATGACTCAAAAAGTACCAGATTGGTAAACTTCGCCTAGAAAATGATATCTCGACTGTAATACATACCAGTTGAGTTAGCGTTCTTCAAACGCCAACAATGTCTTTGTCTTGGGCCCAGCGTCACCATAATCACAGCCAAACCAAGGCGATTGGAGGCAACTAGAAAGTATAATTAGTCTCACGTACTGTGAGTGCGATTATCTATAGAAGCAGAGAAAAATGCAACGAGACACTATTTAGAACAGAAAATACCCGAAACAGGTTCCCTTATCTTTTTCCTAGCCTCTGAAGGTTGTGTGACGAGACGTCATTACGCGAAGCAATGCTACCGCAAGGCGTCTCTGTCGCGCAAGCCGCCGTGAACAGTGAAAATCTCATATTCCTCAAACATTTCATGCAGCTCATGGCAACTTGACGGAGCGGCGAACAACACCTTCAGCTTAGCACCGCGCGCCTTCCTCTGTCTCTTTCTAGCATGCCGCAGGAGAAATCCTACAACAACGATCATGTCCTCTTTACGAGCTTTAGGCGACTCGAAAAAGCTGACGCCATCAATCAGGCAAAACACCAAAGTGTCATTTGACAGCGCATCCAAGAGCTTCACCAGAAGCTTACAGACAGACTCTACCTTTTGCTCGTAAAGGGTCTCCATGATCCCGGATTGAATGAGAACCTCAGGGTCTATGGTATGCCCTGCCTGGCTCAAGAACTGAAGAACAAAAGTCGTGATCAATTCCAGTGGCGATGAGAATGGTTCTCCATCATCTGCATGCTGGCCGCAAAAGTATGCAAGGACACATATAGACTGTTCGTGCATGGCAATGTTTCTAAGTGACCCGACCATGTTTGCGTTGAAATAGGATATGGCTGAAAGTGGGAGGTCGCAACAGCTGTTTTTTCCGAGGATTAGAAGAGCCGCAGATCTCTTGACCTTAACGAAGGCCTCGAGCCGAATATCGATGGTGAGCTGCTGGATGACTTCTTCCTCTCGCCTCGATAGGTGATACCCGCGTGTTATGTTGGAGCAGTCATCATCGACAAGGGAGTCCTGATAGTTCATATCCTCAAGCAATTTCTCGATATCGAAGCAGGCTGGGACTTCTTGGATGTATGGTTTGCGTTGCCAATTTAAAGTCCAAGCTGATACACTAAGTTAGTTTACGTTTTGTTGAAAGTCGCCATCTACTTAGAGATGGACTGAATCTCAAGAAGCGCACGTGCCTTTAAAATCGCCATGAAAAGTCGCTATCGACTTGTGAAACTGACCAAGGATGTCATAAAGCCTCAGATCGTGTTCCAACTGTAGCGTATCTCTCTTTAACGACGCTTCCCGACCGTTGTGCAACGCGCGGTGTAGTAGCTTTTCAGCGCGGGCTACCAAGCATTGATTTCTCACCCTAAGCTGACTGAGGAGACCCAACAACTCGTCGCCGTGCGTTGCGGGATGCAGAATCGCCTTCTTGACCTTCTCTTTATAGGTGTAAGTTACAAAGAAACGGTTCATACTGCAGTGCCATTTGCTACATAAGCGCAGCGTAACTTACCGAGCGTTGTTTGGCCCACGAACCTCAAGATGTATCCCAGAATTTCGAAAATTGAAGCGCAGACCTTGGCCATGCAGCGGTGTATTTGGGGATCCTCGCGATAGATTTGTGCCACGTACTCTTGGTTACTCATGGCCTCTTGTATCTCTTCTACAGCCTGGCATACATTTTCCTTCAGGGTCTCATGTTTGTCGATGGCGCTGAACACAACAGAAAGTGCCCCGCAAATGAGCGAAACGTACTCGCTGCTGGAAGGTAAAACACCAAGAAACAACTCAATGTTCTTGGATTGTCGTTTGAAGGCGGCTAAAGCGTCATGAAGACGCCTGGCGCAGGCGTTACGCTCCTTCGACTTTATCTTTGCTCTCCTTTTGGCCTCAAGGTGCCCACAGATCGTTGCAATAACTGTCTCAACCTCTTGGAAAGTTTTTATTCTTGAAGGTGGTCGGAGCTCAGGGGCGGCGTCAATATCCTCATCACTGTTGGCTTTGAAGATTTTGTAGTAGGTCTTCACGAAAACATCGTAGGCGTCGAAACACTCTCGGTATAGATCCTGCAAGTTTCTCGTCGAGACTCAGCACCTATTTTTCAGGCTTTTGCAGTGAGGGATGGCCTACAACTCTTGGTGCCCCTCTGGAGGGGAGCGTTCCAAGTCTGGAACAGAGATCATCAACCTCCCCCGTTCTATGGTGAACCCACTTGCGTCGAATGCGGGGTGTATCTTACCGTCGGCCTTCGACACGAATTCTTCGACTGACTGGTTTGGCGGCTGCAAAATCTTTCCATAGACGGCTTGTTTTACATACTGTTCCTCGATGCTTAGGCCAACATCACTGACCGACGTGATGAGCGCCATATCGTTGGATAGATTGCAGTTTTGCATGCTCGAACGACTACAGGAGTCCAAATTATTGTTGTAGAGCGTGAGTGTCGGGACCACTGCAGCAGCAGAAGCAGTTCAAACCCCCAGGAAAAAGGAAGCCAGGGAGCCCAGTGAAGTGTGTAGTTACACCAAGCTTACCACCTTTTCATTTCTCAAATGTCACACAAACGGCCCCGAGAGGCTGTACACTGCAGAAGTGTGCTGACACCGAAATAAAGTGCTTGGAAGAACATGCATGTCAGCAATTATTGAACGCATAGCCAGACGGTGATTGGTGTTGAGTAGGATGGTGACGAAGCAAAAGACGCTACCAGAATCAGGCGACCAATCTCATGTCGTTATGTCAACACGCAGTTTCTGCGGTGTACATGGACTCGCAGAATGGGAGGGGGGATACGAAAACGCAAACAGGCTGATGCCCATGTCTTGTATTGAGTCAGGAAGCTGAGGTCAAATAGAGGAAAAAACATCAGTTGGGATCTTTTTCAGTTCTTCCAAGGGAGATTTATCAACCGTACCAAGTCCTTTTCCTCCCCCTCTTTCCACCCAGCATGATTTGACCTTGCCACCCTTACATGAGGACAAGAAGCAATACTTGATCTCAAACCACTAAACGCCTGAAGACATTCTTAAGGAATGCTTCTGCAACACTTGATATGACTTCACCAGCCATGTCCACAGCCATGTCCACAGCTATTCCCGAGGCCGAGGACCTGGCATCGAAGGATAACTCAGTCCAGTCTGGCACTGAACCTGATGCGAACTTCGCGTATTCTGATGAGAAGGATACATCATATCCTTCCGACCAAGAGACAGTCGCTCAGCTGAAAAAGCAAGTCGCAGATCTGACAAAGAAACTTGAGAAGGTGGATCATCTGTTTGACAAAATGTACGTCCTGTACTGCCATTCCGTGTCTTGTTTCCCAACTAATGTGACAAAACACACAGCAACGTCGAAGAACTTCTGAAGAAAAGTGAAGACGCGAAGCTGGTCCCGAAGAGAGGGGAAGACTCTTCGAAAGCTGTGAAGGCGGACGAGAAAGCTGCCAGTGAACAAAAAGACAAGCAAGAAAACGGAAGCTTGGCAGAGTGCAAAGTTCTGCACGTGAAGCCCGGAATCAGCTGGAGGCACAAACTTGGAGAGATCGCAGCCGGAAAGCTAAAGAGATATGCCATGCTCGTTTGCTATGAAGAGTCCAGGATTGCGACCACGGAAAAACTGGACAATCAATCATCGCCAAGTGGTATTCCAGTCAGCATAATCATCAACTCGGTTCGTCTCGATGAACTTCTTCGTGGCTTCAGCCAGAACCTACTGCCAGAGGCCTCTCATGTGCCGTACATGTAGGTTTCCATGCCTGAACAAATACAATCTAAGACTATTATGGATTAGAAGGATTCTATACTGACTATTTCTCTCAAGAGTGCTACGTCCATTCAAGGTAGTTGCCTTCCCATAGAACACCGAGAGCTTCTTTCAATCTATCCAAAGAATCAGCCAAGAAACGCAGGAGACACTTTAGAAAGGGTTTGAGTATTGTATTGAAATCTGACATCCGCAACTTAGGTCTTTGTCGCTCTATGTGAAAAATTCAAGTCGGGCCTGCAAGACTTGGAGTACACTTTTGAAGGTCCTGAGACCACGGACGACGACGTTAGTAACAAGGCTTCGCCCACGAGCACTTCGGAACCAAGCAGTGATAAGTCCGAGTATGATCCAGTCAAGAGCCAACATGAAGAGCTCATGCTCATGCGCTGTTTTATTCAAATGTGCGAGAAGCACCTTGGTCGCTTCTTCAAAATCCAATCACAAGTTGCTGATGCAACTCTCAAGAGTATATCGTATCAGAACCTGTGGTACCTCTTCAAACCTGGCGACATCATTATCGGCCGTGGAGAGGCTGGTTCGCATCTTGGAGATACTGCTGAGGCTTACTGTGTTTACTGCCCTACAAGTAGCCGCCCTCCGCAAAAGGTTCTTGCATTTGCATGGGACGCGGCATTTTGGCAGAAGCACAGTGTGTCACCACCTGATTACTTGAAGGATAATGTTTCTCAGCCGGACGACTTTCACCTGTTTTCTTATCACTGGCAGTTCAACGGCTCCCGCTTTACACCTCAACAGAAGCTTGTCGTCATCAAACCCTTTGAGGGAGAGAAAGAAATCACCAAACTGGCGTACTTCCCCAAGCAGTTCTGCAAAGCCGACAACCCCATCCTCAAATATCTAATTGACAAGGGAGAGACTTTTAGAAGGTTGCGATATGGTCATGGCGTGTACAAGGGATTGAATGTACAGCCTCAGCCACCGCAGTTTGTTGACGAGGAAGTTTTTATCGACTTTGCCTCTGGATTTGAGGCAAACGTCGAAAGTATTAAGACTTACCTGGAAGAAGGGACCTTGAGTCTCCCATTTGAGGAAAAAGAGGAGGTTTACGGCCGTCGTTGCGACAGACAACCTCACTGTTGGACTTGCAACATCGACATGTCGGCGAACAAGTTAGAAATGAAGCGCGCCAGTAACTTCAGAGTTACTGGAAAGTATGCTCTGACGGTCTCCAACGAAGACTTTTCCAAACTATCGGAAGATAGCCTCGTCATGCTACCGAGCACTCTGCTAGGCTACGGACTAAAGTCCAAAGACTGGTGTAAGGCAGCCAAGCATCTTTTCCCATTTACTTCGACACCCGCTGACATAGGTTCATGAGCCAGACTTGCTCGACATGTACAAGCTCAAAATGAGTGAGACTACCGAGTCTAAGCGGCAACAGTCTTTTGACCATCTCGTGATCCCTTCCAAGACAAAGCGGCTACTGCAAGCGTTAGTGAAAGATCATGGCATCACTACGGAGAGTTCAGGTGGAACTGAGGATGAGCTCAAGAACGAGATTGATATAGTCAAGGGAAAGGGTAACGGAGTCGTCATCTTTTTGTACGGCCCTCCTGGCGTGGGAAAGGTAGGGGTATTTTCCTGTCAAAGTGTCATGGCTGTACTGACTTGAGATGGGTTGATAGACAAGCACGGCGGAAACGATTGCAGCCTACAGTACTCCAGCTCGGCCATTATACGCCATTGTGAGTGGCCCTGAAATTGTCACCGAACATCCATTTGTAACAATATCTATTAACCAAGGGCTAGACATGTGGTGATCTGGGATCAGAGGCTGTGAAAATCCAAGAAAATCTTGATCAACATTTCAAGTTGGCTCACAGATGGAATTGCGTCCTTCTACTGGACGAGGCTGACGTCTACCTTGCCGAACGGAACATTCACGATCTAGATCGTAATGGAATTGTGTCAGGTCTGTATACATCTCTTCCTGTCGACTTTCTACTTGCTTATCATGATCCCTCAAAGTCTTCCTTCGTCATTTAGAGTACTACCCGGGCATTCTATTCCTCACTTCCAACAGAGAGGGACTCATCGATGAAGCCTTCAAATCTCGAATCCATGTTGCTTTGCGGTATAAGGCAATTGATGCAGCGGGAACCAGGAGGATCTGGGAAAATATCTTGAATAAGATTGATGCAGACAATGCAGATAAGACGATCAAGGTCCGCTTCAAGAAGAGTGAACTTCTCGAATGGGCGGAAAATCATTTCGACGAGGTCAAAGACAAAAAATCAGATGGCCTCAGCACGGCGACCTGGAACGGAAGGCAGATTCGCAATGCGTTTCAGACAGCGATTGCTATCGCGTCGTTTGAGCGGGTCAATTATCTGAAGGAAAAGAACGTCAGTGAGGAAGAGGCATTGACAAAGAAATCCAAGAAGTACCGAACGATTGAGCTCAAAAGTAAACATTTCGCCACGGTTTCAAAGGTGGTTGGGGAGTTTGAAGATTATCGTAAGTTTTGCCCCCCGTCAAGGCATCGGCGGCTCATCAGTACTGACGACTGCAAATCGTAATCACAGTCGTCAAGTGTAGAGGTGACGATGCTGATCGTGCCTCTAAGAGCTCCTGGAGGAAGGATAGTCACGAACCAGGAGCCCCGCGTCTATCTGCTTACCCAAAACCCAAGGACCTGTTCAGGAGATCTGAAGACAACAAGCGAAAGGGTCATGTCGATGACTTTGCTGACATCCGGGGAATCAAGGGGAAGAAGGTTGAGTCTGATGATAGCGACGACCAGACGCAAGAGGGAAACAAGGGCGAGTCGAAGAAGGTTGGTAAATCGAAAGTCCGGGGAACGCAACGGGATGATGAATCTTCCGATGAGTCGGAATCAGAGTCTTCCGATGAGGAGGACTGATAGGAAAGATTGGCCACTGTAATGGAAACTACTCGTGCTTGAAGAGTGCGCATGTATGGACGTGATATTCGCAAGAAAGCTGTGCCAGTATAGATACGAAGAGCAGCATACGCAGGGACCCAATAGCAACAAAGACAGAACGGCGTACGGATTTGATTCATGTGCATCCATTTTAGCTAGCTATTACTATTAAATTGGAAGGTTAGGTCCTAGGGACATCATAATCTTACAGACAGCAATTAAGGTTGCAAAAGATAGTCCTTGCTACATCTAGAAGTTTCAATAAGGTCGGATGCGGTAACAAATCCCAAGCAGTTCGCATAACGAAGACACGCCAAGACGGCCCTCAATACATAACTCCTCTATATAGCATACCAGCAGTGTGAATCATCGTGGCAGTATACCAGAATATTAGGGCAGTAGAATCAGAGTCGGCGACTCCTACGTATCGAGATAGAGATTGAATAAACATTGCCCCGAGCATGAGAATCAATGGGCTGCCGGGTATTAGAACAAAGCAGAGGAGGATGCATTCTAATTAATCCTGAATATTGCAGGAATCCGAGCCACAAAGAAAGATCACTCACGTGTATCGGCTTTGCAGGAAGATCATGGTAAAATCTTGCCCTCTCTTTTTCAGGAGGCTTGATGCATGAATAGAGCGGGTCGCCTTGTCGTCCTTTAAGAGGCCGTCATGTTGATTCTCCATGGCAGTCGTCCGATTCGTGAAGTGATACAACAATGACAAGGTTAACTTGGGAGAAACTTAAGCGTGGATAGTTCAGTCAGGTAGGTAGCCGAAGACAAGACAAGTCCCTCGGAATCGATGGAGGGGCTGGGGATCTGCTAAGCGAAGGGGCACTCTGTTGTAGGTCATTAAATAAGCAATTAGGCCAAGATATCGGCCGGCTCGGCACGCGATTGTGGCCACTGCTGGAAACATTTGACCCACAGATCTAAGGTTGATAATGGGGCTTGTGTACTTAAAGAGTAAGGCAGCGGATATCCGGCAGCAAGATTTTGATTTCTGTAACTCTGCGTCCCAGGCAGCAACAGCCAAGAGATGACGCTGAACAAATGACAGATGTTACAATTGGGGAGGAAGTTAAGCATGACGTGATCGCAAACAACTTTCTTTGAGGACGGAAACACGGTTTTGCACCTGCCTTTTGCCGAAATCCCCTCGGAGTATGGAAGCTTGGCAAAGCGCGCAGGCGCTGCTGGTTTCCAGATTTCGTACGCTGCGCGCAGCCAGTCGAACCTGACCGTGGCTCACCGTAGGGAGATGTCCGGCTGGGGCGCGGCCGAGTGGGCCAATAACGCCGTCAGGTACGCGACGACAGACATTGTTGGGTTTGCTGAGACGGATCACACCGCAAACTTCTACTATAGCATTATACCGGAGCTGAAAAGCTTCGGGTTGAACTACGAGAGCGTCGATGTTTGCGGTGGAATGGCCGGCATGATGTAAGTCACCGCTGGCGTTCCCGTACAACTTGTGGACCATTCGTTTGTTTCATGCCGCGTCAACGACGCAGAGAACAGAGAAACTGGCGAACTTGATGGCGAAGATTCCCCTTACCTTCGTGTATCTAGATGAGATCCATGAATGTCAAGGAAGTTTCGAGCCAATCCAGTAGGTGGTTCCACAGTAGGGGAAGAAGCAGTAAAAGCACCTCGGTCAGTGCTGAGTCCAGTAGGTTCGCAGCATACGTAACAAGCGTGTCTAGATGAATGAGGAGATAATATTGTCATCTCCACCCCCTGGATCGGCGTCACTCTTATTTCGACTTCACTGTCGTTATGTTTTGGCCGCTTATTAATCGGGCGATTCGGAATTCCGGTCATCGTGCATTGACACCATGGAGACCCCAAGAGTGGATTGCGTTCTTCTTTGGCGGACATTCGGAATTGCGAGCCTCCTATTCGACCTCCTCAGTGCCCATGTCGACTAACATCATTGAGGCGGCCGCCTGGGGACACACGGAGCAACTCATGGCGTGAAACCATGAACAGTTCACATCACAAGATCTTGAAGGCTGTCGGTTAGCTCCTAACTCCCCGACTAAGGCCCAGATCGCATTTGCTAAAGAATGTATTTAACAACCTCTCAATTCCAAGGAATATGGAAACAGCTTGGTTCAGGGCATTTCCCAAGTTTCCCATTATCATTTCCGATCACTGCTAAACTCTCTGAAACCATGCATCTGCCATCCGACCACAAAATAAGCCAGGACAGCTACAAATGGATCGCAAAAGCCGTCGATTCTCTCGACCCTGAAACCGACTACGAACTCATCTGGCGCCTAACATCGAGCTACCACCTTTCAGACTTTGCCAACAACCTCATCTACACCCTCACCTTCCCAAATTTCGTCGTATCAAGCCATGGATCTACACCTGTCTGGCGTTCAGATGGCGGCAAAGTGGTCCACAAAGCCAGCGATCGCGTCGACAGGACGGAGCATTACAACATGGCTTGGTGGTACTACGGGCCCAGCGACCAACGCTGTCGAGACGCCGTTGAGAGGATTAATCAACTGCACGCAGGCTTAGCGATCCGATATCCAGACGCCTTCACCCACAACGAAGACTACGTGTACACGCTCACTTTCAGCGCCGTGCTCATGCATCGTCTCCGATTACGTCTCGGGCTCTCAGGCTTCACTGAGAAGCAGAAGATTGCAGCTCATCACTTCTGGCGGGACATGATGCCGCTGTTCAAGCTTGAAGGCAACGGCGTGCCGATCACTGGCTTTCCAGACGACTTCGAGGGCTGCATTACGTTCTGTGAGGCCTATGAGAACACCCCTCGCGAATATGATGAGAGAGCGCGCTATGTTGGACTGTCGATTTTCAATCTCTTTGCATATCGGTACTTTCCTCCGGGGTTGCGGTGGTTTGGCATGGCATTCCCCCGTACGCTCTCGCTACCGACGACGTTGAAGTACTTCCGCATCGAGCCGGCCAACGCAGTACTTGGAGCGGTCATCGTGTTCATCGTGAGAACAGTCTTTCTCATCTCAGAGGTCTTACTGCCAGATCCTAAAGTGCCTTTCTTTGAGCAACTGGAGACCTTACCGGAGGTGGAAGTGAAGAAGCGCAAGGAGGAGAGCAGAACGCTGGATAAATCATACGAAGCATTTATCAAGGAGAAGATGAGCGGCCCAGGGTGCCCATTCAGTGCGAAGATGCAGTAAGAGAAACATCTAGGAGCGTAAAATTGTGTATCTCATCCATCATAAACGTTCTTTCTACCGGTGATCCTCTATCATGTTCTGGCTGAAGACGTTAAACCATAATCTAGATCTACTTCTTTGCCACCTCCTTCTTCAGCCAGCCTACCCAGCCCTCGTCGGCCAGAATAGATCTAACTCTTGCCTCTAACCACTCCGTGTTTCCCCAGAATCCCCAAGACGCCTGAAAGCGACACCAATCAACCAAAGCCGTTTCCCAGTGGCGGATGAAGACATCCCAATCGTATTCCGATGGGCCCTTCCCTGAAGGTCTCTCCTTCAACAGTGTTTCCCGATACTGTTCCAGCAATGCTTTCTCTCCTTTATCCATCGGCAGCTGATCGGGTATATCCTCGTGCTGCGTGAGCATGTCCAGAGGTACTGAGCAGGTGAAGAGCTTGGCGAGATCGCAGGTTCCGACGCCCAGTCCGGCGTATTGAAAGTCGAAGAAGGCAACCTTGTCGCCGGCTTGCGTGGTGAACAGGTTCTCAGACTTCACATCGCCATGGATGTAGGATTCGAACGGCCTTCCGGAGGGCGTGAGAAAGTCAGCCACCAACTCGGCGACGGACTTGGAAGAACCGTCGACAGGGTCGCAGAAAGCCGAATTCCATTCGGAGTAGTCGTCCCGACACAACGAGCCGTACTCCTTCCGCCTTGTCGCTAGGTAGGTGTATCCTCCGTTCAGCCACAGCTTGGGGTCTGCGGGTGCTTGGCCAGAGTCTCTGCGTTTTTGCTCGTCCAGCGGCGGCAGAAGAAACCTGTCCAGGTCGTCTGGCAGCGATGCCCACGAACTGCTGTGATACTTGGCGAGCCAGTCTAGCGCGGCTCTGACTTGCAATCGGTTAAGGACCAGTCTCTTCTCGCCCGCGACGGGGAACTGAGGGCGAAGATCGGTGATGATGGTCGCCATCAAGGCCTCCAACTCGTTGGCGCGTGGCTTGCCCGTCATGTCTCGCGTTGAAGCAAGGCACTTTGCAACCGCAACATCATCGCTGAGTTTCGGCGCGATCTCCGAGTAGAAATACTGCTCGACTTCGTAGCTGAGCATCTTCCGCAGGTGCCCCTCATCCCCAGCTTTGGCGCGGGGCGGCGAGATGAGTTTGAGAACAAGGCGATACGATCCTTGCGCGTCCGGCCGCAGCGCCGGTGAGATGGCGTTCGCATCGAAGTTTCCGTTGACAGCGTCACTCGGGCGGGCGGTGATGGCGCAGATGTGACCGTAGCCGGCCCACAGCGTCTGGAGCTCGACGATGGAGACGAGGTCAAGGCCCAGCCACGAGAGCATGATCTCTGCGACGCGTCGAGGCTCCTTGAGAGAGACCATGGTGAAGGAAACTGCTGCTGCGGCCAGAACAATTTGAGTCGTGTCGGTGCCAATATTTGGAAACGGGGTTGCCGCAACGAGCTGGGTGAGGTTGGAGGCAGGGCAGAAGCCGCCGGGGAGCGCCGTGTCCATTTCGAGATTGCTTCCCAGGTGGGTCCGGTGACTTCAGCGGCACACTCAGTGATTGGATTTTCATTCCACAGTGAGCTGGCTCACTGCGAGATTTTCAGTTTCATCTGGATGCCTCACTTCGTTTTGGAATCATGAAGATGTAAGTTCTCGCCTGCCCCTTTTCCGCGGACGGGCATAAGTAGCCATCAATTTTGATGGTCAAATGCCGAGAAATAAGAAAACAATAACCTAATATCCTACTCAAGCCGTGGCTTACTTCAGTCTCCTTGGCAGTTTCACTGAATTGACGGACATCTTAGCACGTTAGGCCTGCTGCCAGCTGGTTACGGCTGCAGTCTTTGTTAGCCGCCACGAGAAAATCGGAGCTTGGACACTATTTTCTCTCACGGCGTCATCGTGAGAAAGACAATCAACTCCTCTACAAGACCGGCAGCTTGACCCAGGTGATCGACGTAAAGGAACCTCAGTCTGGTGAAACAAAAACATCCAATCAATTCACTGACACAGTAAGCAGTCACTCTGAAGGCCATCAGGGTGCCGAGGACCCACCCACGAGGAAGTCGCCATTTAATACTGAGATGCTCTTTCCACTTTCTCACACATTCTCTTGATAACACCTGTCCAACTCATTTCTCCCATACTGTATTGGACTCCTCCGTCATGGGAAGACTTCAACCTTCAGTCGGCCAGCCGCCGGCGAGCTTCCGCAAAGCCGCTCGGGCTAAGAAGGCCAAGGTCACGCTCAACCAGCTCATTCCATCGCTTCTCCCCACACACCCCCGCGCTCGCAAGGGAATCGACACTGCAGAACTCATTATTGAGCCAAAGCCAGCGAAGAAGCAGCTGAGCCCCTCAAAAGATGGTTCAGCCAGATCACTCGAAGCTGACTCCCCACCAAGTGTTGTCCTTCGCGTGGCGGATACTCTCACGGCAGCTCACTCCCTCACATCTGACCGACCAGGTGAGGGCCGGGTTGCCATTCTCAACATGGCTTCACCGCTTACGCCTGGGGGCGGGTTCATCAACGGAGCAGGGAGCCAGGAGGAGTCACTCTGCATGAGATGTACTTTGCTTCCTTCTCTTAAGGATGAATGGTACAGACTTCCAGAGCTTGGTGCGATATATACTCCCGATGTCTTGGTCTTCCGGGGAGAGAACTCCGACGAAGTGCTAGAGAAGAAGGAACGCTGGTTTGTCGACTGCATTAGTGCTGCGATGCTGCGGAACCCAGAGACGGACCGAGACGAGTCAACGGGATTCAGTAGCTACGTCAACGACACGGATCGCCAGCTCGTCCTCGAAAAGATGAAGATGGTTCTGCGCATTTGTCAAGTCAAGGGTGTTAAGAAGGTAGTTCTCGGGGCTTGGGGTTGTGGCGCATTTGGTAATCCGGTTGGGGAGGTTGCTTCGGCTTGGAAAAAGGTGCTCCTCCCTCGAAACGACAATAAGGGAAAGAAGAAGGGCAACAAGGAAACTTGGAACGATATTGACAAAGTTGTTTTTGCCATCAAGGATGCCGGTATGGCTGATGCCTTCGAGGCTGCGTTTGGCAAGGGGTTGACGAGGGAAGAAGCCGACGAATCAGGGGATGAGGATGAGAGTGAAGTCGACCCTGAAGAGGCGAATAGGGCTGAACTTCAAGAGAGGATACGTGAACTGGAAGAGCGCATTGAGAAGACCGCCAACCCGCAACTCAAAGAGGGATTAAGGGTCATACTTGCGGGGCTAGTAGGCCAATTGCCTTCAGAGGAGAATGGGAACGCAGCCGACGAGGTCTCCGAAGAGGAGTCCGAAGAGGAGTCCGAAGAGGAGTCCGAAGAGGGAGAAGATTAGCTTGCTAAGACTTTTAGTGAAATCGTTGCACACCATCTCCAAAATACAGTACTAGGTGCATGAAGAGTCTCATGCCGAGGACCACTCCTTCGATGGCATGCGCAAATCATTTGACTTCTAGGTCTCGGTCAGCCTTCCTAAATCGTCTCAGACAGGAAAGAACTGAACAAAAAAGTGAATGATGACACTCTACTCATGGATACTTCCGTCGGAGTCGGCGAGCAGCTCAGGCGACCAGTTAAATCTCCGATGCCCGAATCCCCGAGGCTTGAGAATGAGCACAGTCACGTTTTCGTACAAGAGCACAAAAGGTCCAAACATTTACACGTTGAACCGCCTTATATCTCGTAAGGATTCGTGTTGATTGTCGCTAGGAAGCTATTAGGGATCCGCCTTAGAAAGACTCGTTCGGGGCCCGGTACTCTTCCCGGAGCTACTGTGGGCCAGATTGCCGAAGCCTTCGGTGCGGCCCCGGCGCCAACTCCGGCCCGAGTGTCGCAACAGGGTTTGCTGGCCGAACGGAGAAATATGAGTGGATCGGTTTCGGCATACAAGACGTTGCGCGAGTAAGGCTCTGTGGACTTCGTCGCTTCGATTACGGTCTTCAGTAAAAGTCGACCATATAGCTGATGCCCAGCCCATTTGTCAGACCAGACTGAAACGCCCAATTGCCTAGGTACTGACCAGAAACTGACCAGAAAGGATTCGACTCTTCGGCAAACTTTTCAGCAATTAGCTCCTCCCGCTTCCAGACGACTGCCATCCGAACTTCCTCCCTCTCCCGCGCGCATCTCCTTCGTAAACCTCTCACGATGGCGACCGCCCCGACGACCTTTCCTCAGTTCTCGAGCCTCCCCACGGAGCTCCGCCGTTCTATCTGGGAAGAAGCGGTGGCTGGCCCATCAATGCACGTCGTTGATGTTTGCTTTCCATCGCGTCGAGGTAATAGCCGCAGCAGACGTGCTTTTCAGGGGTTAACCCTTGCAGCCAATCATCACCCTCCGCGAGAAGCTTCTTGGAGCAAGCACGAGTACATCGCCTTCCTCGACAGTGTACCAAGCATTCAAGATGAAGACAGCCAACCGAAAATGAAATGGCCGCGGCGATGTACGCGAGACCCTAGTATGTATCTTCACAGAAGGTTTCAGCGCCAGGCTTGTCATGAGGCGGCATCGGTGTCGTCTCTCAAAGCTCTGAACGTCAACACCGTCTACTTTCCGGGACAAGCCAGAAAGTTCGATTATGACAACGATCGAGACGTGCTGCATCTCCGCTTTTCCAGCCAGTATCACGCCGAGTACGTCGAGCAGACGACTTCATCGCACGGCAGTCCCCATTTCAGCAGTATAGCCGAAGCTCTTGAGGCTCACTGGAGTACAGAGATGGCGCTCACTGTGTGGCAGGCACGACGCATAGCCATCGATGTCAGAGAGACATTGATGCCCTTAAGTCTAGTCGAGATTGAGTATTTGGCATCTTGTATTCAGAAAGGCTTGGAATGCATTTACCTGATAGACGATGCCGAGGAAAGGGGTAGTAAGAGTGGACCAGAGCATCTCAATGCGTCAAGTCTTCAGCAGAGAGGGAGGCTCTATCGCTTACTGCACAGCAGGCAGCTGAAGAAAAACGTCGGAAGAGAGCCCGATGTTTTCCAGGGCGTGGGGAAAACGTACAGAGAGGTCTTTGACTTGGAGAAACTTGGATGGACTGAGGCCCATCCTGCATTTGGCTTCGCATGTCGCCTCTCGGCGTCAATTGATGCACAACAGTATGACGGTGGCGAGGAAGTCTTCAAAGGGGTCAGGGTATTGCTAGCAGAAGAGGACTATGCTTAGAAACTTAGAGAGCGTTACAAGATAATCATGAACTCGGCAAGGGTCCATGATCAAGCAAAAGATCACTCAGCGCCTTAAGCTAATGCTACTTAGCCTTATTATACAAATTTCATGGTCAGGACTTGCTTCCCTGCATGTTTACTCAAGATGCTAATGCCCTTCCAAAGACATTGACTGGAAGAGCGACATGAGCGACGAATGAGAGTCGCGTGGATCACCAAAGTCTAAGACCAGCTCAGAGTTGACAAGGGCTCACGTAGTCTTGGTGGCCCATGGAAATGAATTCAATGGTTACCTTCATTGCTGTTGTTGACCTTATGCGTCTATTTCACGAGACTGAAGGTTGATTCAAAAACTACCTTACCTACATATACGTGGTTGGTAGACTACCAAGGCTGAGCTAACCCACAGTCTGCTAGACCTTGTTGCCGATTCATTTAGATGCTTTCGCCGCGCCGGCGTCCTTCTTCCTGACATCATAAAAGCCCAAGCCCCAAGTAGAGATAAACATGGCTACAGAGAGCCCCGTAGTAATATACATGGTTTTCTGGAAAGCGACGGCCCATGCCTTTACCACGTTGGGCAGATCGGCAGCAGACACCTGACTCCTGAAAGCGGTCGCGCCCGCTGTGAGAACGGCTTTTGGGTTCACATTGGGCGCGTGTATCTGAATCTGGTTGATGACGGTATTATCGAAAACTGTGTTGCCGATACTGATGAGCACCGCACCGCCAAGTCCTTGTACGAAAACGAGGATGGTGAGGGCGATGGCCACCAGTGTTGGTGGCAGCGCCGTTTGGATAGCCACGATAGCCTGGCTCAGAAGTAAGCGATCTAAATTTTTGAAGCTGTGCTTTAGAACCTACCATCTGCAGTCCTAGACCTCTGCCACATCCGTATAGAATCTGATAACCAATCCATTTTCCCGCACTGGTATCGGTTGACCAGGTGGTCATCAGACCTGCACCGATGGAGGTCAGGATGGCCGCAAAAACTGCCCACGGGAGGTAGTAGCCCAGTTTGGAAACTGCTCTCTGTCAGCCTCTTGTTCTCCGAGAGATTTAAACTGTTGGTTCTCACCCATCATGCCTGAGAGAAGAGTCATGACAATGGACCCGATGATGCTTGGCAACATATGGATGCCACTCTCCATAGGGCTGTCGCCAAGAATACTCTGGAAGTAAATAGGGATGAAGTAAGTCGCGATATACGTTATTCCAAACAAACAAGTATTCATTGCGGCCCCGCATGCCACGACTTTGTTCTTGAACATCTCGAGGGGCATGAGAGCATTCGCGCCGGCTCGGTATTCCCAGCCCATGAACAGAATCGTGGCTCCAGCAAAACCGCAGAAGAGCCCAATGACGACGGCGCTGTTCCAGGGGTATTCGGCACCACCGTAGTGTAGCGCTAAAAGGAGCTGGACGATGGCCCCAATCAGGATCCCTGAGCCTACAACATCGAACTTCTTCAGGATGTTGCGGTCAGTGAGCACCGCTGTGAACTTTGGCTTAGCCATCTGTTCAGGAATGTAGACCAATGCAAGCAGAATGCATGCAAAACCTCCGATGGGGAGATTAATCCAGAAGCCTGTGATGTTGATCAGAACCTGCTGGTCCTAGAGACGGGCACTGCTTGATACTTACACCAGCGCCAATTGGTGTACTGTGTTAGCGAGCCACCAATGAGGGGCCCTGCGATCAGCCCGATTTGCGAGATCGCAAGCATGATGCCCATCATAGCGGGCCGCTGTTGAGCGGACACCATACCGTAAATGATGATCATTGAGCCATTGAAAAGGCCAGAAGCACCAATGCCAGCCACCGTTCGGCCCGCAATGAACTGAACTGATGATTGCGAGAGGGCGCAGATCAGTGAGCCAACCTCGAATATGACTAGGAACACGATGTACGTCCACTACTCATGTGAGCGCTGCTATGTAACTATTGGGTACAATATCTCTCACCTTATTACTGAAGTAAGTGAAGAACTTGCCAGTCAAAGGCTGTAAAGCCGATCTTTGGTATGTGAGCAATAACGTCTAATGGTTTCACAAACAGAACATGGCGGGTGACTTACACAGCTAATTGATACGAACTCACGTACCAGCCGATATCTTTAACAGAGTGAAACTCGTTGGTAATAGTAGGGGTTGCCTTTGGGCATCATTAGCCATCCATGGATATAGGATTCGCTCAAAGAGTCTTTTCATTTACGTACCGTTGAGAGGATTGCGTTGTCTAAATTAATCAATATGGCGCTGAGGTTGAGAGCTGCCATTGCGAACAACAGCTTGTAGCCTGTGACGTGCTTTGGCCCCTCGTCAACATCTTCAAGGGGGTCCTGCAGTTCCTTATCCGCGGCCCCAGAATCATCGCCCGACGTTGGCTCAATGTCTTCATTTCCGATGAATTTGGTGTCTTCAGTAAAAGAGCCACGTGACTCCAGTACATTGGGAGTAATATCACTGTTCTTCGGCTCCATTAGCTTTGAGGCGGACGATGAGATCCTGCAAGATGGATCTACAAAGAATGGTGAGAACGGTTGGCCAAGCTGTGAGGGGGTTCGGTAGTGCAGTAGTACAGAACACCACAGCGCATCATTAAAGTGGTATTACAGGCTTAATGTGCAGGCCTTAAGTCACCGAACATTCAAATCTTCGGGGATTAGATGCCCTGGAATCGGTACACATCGCTTAAGGTTTTGACCGACTCAGCAGGTGGTATCACTCTGTCTCGCGTGCCGCTTCACTGTCGATCAGCAGTGCAGAGTTCAGCATCCTCTGAAGGAAGGTACATGCCCGGGATAACATTACTTGTTCTAGAAGTCCCTTTGCCATGTGCAATTCATGCTCAGAGTCTATACCCTCGAACCTACTGCACGGCGGTATCTTATAATACGGCACAAACAAGCTTATCCCGTCGGGTGTGCCAGCCGGCGGTTGTGCGAACAAGCTGCCATGAGTAAAGTCAATACTGCCCGCACTCACTATGGGAAGTTGAGCTTGAATCGCATAGAAAGAGCTATCTTCGCCGAGAGTCAGCCGAAGATCAGCTGGTTTTCTGTTGCATATATCTTGACAGTAATCTTGCATACAATCGGCGCGGTAATCTGCATTAACCGCCGTTGAAGGCTCCCAAACGGGAACAAGACCACACTGTACTCGGACCGCTTGGGCCGGTTGACGCCGCCGGTGATTTCTGGTATCCCCCTGCGCCCCTGTTTGGCAGGTCTAAGTTGATACCAGCACCATTCAGACCTGGACTGGAATAACAAGAAGACTAGCGCATGAGCACATGCAGAAAGATGCGCCGAGCTATTCCATTCCGTTAAGTATGAAGCATCCTCCGGCATAGGAGCGGTTCTCCCCGTCCTGCCGTGAATTTGCCGTGAACTACAGTACCCCAAATCCTCGGTGAGTCAGCCACCGCCACCACTTCACCTACTTTGCATCTTGCTTCCCAGCCGTTTGTAGTTTGTAGCTTGTATCATGTGTCAACTAGTGCACAGCGGAAACCTTCAGCAGAGCATGAGTGCATATTCTGGAAGTTATCCGCGCATGCCACCTCAGGCTTTCCGGGGTTCGTTTGATCTTAGTGTTAGTACCTGTACAGAGGAACCTTAACCATGTTCGGACTCGCTTCAGCAGCCACCGAGAAGTCTCCTGGCCGACCTACCCCTCACTGAGGGGAGCGGGGAAACACAGCTTAGGGGACCTGAGTCGAAGCTAGGGGAGTGTTGGCCCAACAGTTGAATCGCGAGCAGATGGTCGTGAGCAGAGAATTCGTGGTTCGCAGCACCACGTGCGTACCACGATGAAGAAGAATAGGGCCGACTGACTTCTACATTGCTGCTCATCACATCAGATGGGCAAACAGTTTTTTTGAACAAGCTTCAATTTTTCTGCTCAATGCAACATGCCGTTTGAACGTGCTTCGCAGACCATCTTTGTTTGCTCTCGCTAATAAATCATGACAAAATTGTCAGCGCTCGACATCGATTGCGATGTCCCAGCTGCCCCCGTAACAATCCAAGTTCTTCCCGAAACGCAGCAGCAGCACTCTCCATAGCTCTATTGTTGTCTTTGAACTCTCCCCAAAAGACACACCTGTCCGTTTCGCTGCCGGACAAAATCGCATCCAACGTCGGTTCGGTTTCTTCTGAGCTTGACTGACGACCGCGGGGCTGGGTTGGCTTTGGGGCATCCAGACCCCCGGAACCAACACTAATGTAGTGCTTTTCTGGGACGCCAAGCTGCACGCCAAGGGTGTTGAGCTTGTGCGTGACAACCTGCATCAGCACCAAGATCTTGAGGTCGTCATCCCCATCAAGAATCACGTCTTCCACTCGCAGGTCGTAGAGAAGTTCTGCGATGTTTTCTCCGCTTTGTAGACCAGAATATACGGCAGCAAAAATCTGGCGAAATGCCTGGAAGATCTTGGCGTAACATGAGAGTAATAGCAACTTCGTCGGTCCGTCGATTGCTAGCGGGGCTGTTCCGGATCCAGTGCGATCGTGTTTGGTAACCAGATTACTCAACGTCTGTGTATGTTGCAGAATATTTCGCAAGGTTGCCGTTGATCTACCTTTCGCTCCTCCTGGTGAAGTCTCGGCTTTTTGCACAGGATTTGACGGGACCAGCTCGAATAGACACGAAGTAAGGCTAGCCACCTCGCATGTCAAGGCCGCATTGAATGAGCTTTCCGGCGGCGGCGCCGGGTCGCACTGCTGGTCCTCTATTGGCGGCTCTGGTTCTTTTGGTGGAGGTTCCGAATTGTCAGATGAGGACTCGAGAGATTCACCTGAGCTACTTTGCTCCGATACTGAGTTGACAGAATTTGAGCCGTCGGAGCTCCATGCCATCCAGTCCGTGGCAAGGTCAGATGCGAAGAAGTTCATCAGTTCTCCGTCATGAGCCAAGACCCCAGATAGTGGCGGACTCTCCAAGCCGGACGCCATCTACATCAATCAGTATCGTATGAGGACCGGGGAGTTAGGGAAGTGCACCCAGTGCTTGTACTGACCATTGCAGGATCTATTGGGGTGAGTCCTGTGTGATTCTCTTCCCATGAACCTCGCCTATCGCACGATTCTTGCCATAGCGCCGGCGGGATGAACGAGATTCCCCTCGGATCAACCAGATGAAGTGAAGCTGACCCTGGCCTCCCTGCTCGCGACCTCGGCGGGCGACCAACGCGACGAGAATGATTCTTTCTGCATTGAACTCCTTTACGACTGCATCTCTCGCATGATGGATTCGGACCCCCGGCGGCAGGCCAGTCGCATCGTAACTTCTGTGCTCGACATCGCTCGCAGGCTAGGCTGTTCGTGCGTTTGGAAGGATCGGTGGAAGACATGGTGGTGAGGTGTTGTAGTTTAGTTGGTGTCTCTCGGCCGGCTACGAGCAAGCTTTACGTTGGCTTCAATGTGACATGAGGGGGCGAAAGTGTACGCCAGATGACAGGAGAGTATCTGCTCTAGCGAAAAAGAAGAATCCGAGGATGTCGGGCCATATACGATAATTAGACGTCCACTGCACAGTGAGTTCAATGCTTGAGCTCGAAATCGGTAAAGTATGCGCTACTATCAGATCTAAGAAAAGATACTAATGCGACGATGTCTGCCCATCATCACATGGGTACAATACTCACCCAGAAGGTACTCGGTCCCGCATGTCAGTAGTTGCATGCGGGTGCTCAAAGCTGACTCGTGATAAGGTTAAGCGATCATTAATCTTCAAAAAGACAGCCAGCATCAACTGTAGCTGGCGAAGTCTAATAACACATATAGGACGCTGCCAACGACACAAGGTGAAGCGGAGAATACCGAAGTGTCAGCAGTGTGCAGTAGAGGTGCTCCCAGATGAGGGGTAGCTACATGTATCGAGGGGAGCGTCTTGTGGCCCCGTCTCCCCGTGTCATGAAGGAACATGTTCTGGGTTACGCCTGATGGCGTATCCTCGATAGGGATACTGTGTGAAGGATGCCCCTCAAAAGCAGTAGGGGTTACGTACAACAGAAACCCCCTCAAACTTTGAAGGCGACTTGCGTTGCAACGGGACGGTGGCATCAGGCAGAGCTATGTGAGAGCAGCTAGCAAAGCCATGTTAACCCCAGCTCAGACCCTTAAGCCCCTTCTTTATTGCCACGGGAAAGGTGGGAGTTCCATGCAACACGGCACTTTTCGCTATCCGCATTCAGCCTCAGAAAGAAGGAGCTCAGGCCGCCGGGGAAGATACCGGTACTCGGACAGGTACTCGGGTTGCGGAGCGTGGGTGATTTCCGGAGGCCGCGACCTGCGCCTTCGCGATCATAACATGGTATCAGGGAGAAAGTAAGTCGCGGTTCCACTGTAAGTGAACAAGCTTTGTGGCAACATACGATTCCACAGATCTCCTTGGTCGAAAGACTCAATCGATTTGTTTAACTACGGACCGACCTCTCAGCATGTAACAAACACCTCATTGCAACGTCAAGGGACATGGTCCAAGTTGCCAGCTCACGTTGCTGACAGCTAGCACAACCGAAGCTCATGCTTTTGCGTTCTGAACTCTATTATCACAACTGACTCGCTGTCCTCGCCGAAAATCAGCCAAAGCTCATCCCATTACTGGGTTGATTACATCGCAAGGCTATCCACACCACACCCAGTACCATGCAGCTGGTAAAAGGTTCACCTTTTAAACTTCATGTTTCGTTACTGCGAAGGCCACTACCCCTTTCAAAAGAAAGAGAACTACTCAATGCAGTTTTTTGTGGTGGCGGAAAACCCAAACCAACATCGAACTGCTTCATAGTGAAGACTAGAACCCCGAACCAGCCAGCCAGGTCTCTGCACGCGCCTTCAGTTGACCCATCATTCCAACACCGTAGACCAGCCAGATCTTCCACCTCGCAAGCTTCTCCGGGAACTCCGCTTCTTCGGAAAAGGCACTACCCAAGTATTGACACCCCCCGGTTTCACCTCCAAATACTCTGTTTGTGAATACTGCCAGACCCGTATCTCGGCCGAATGGCATTTGAACCTGAACATATTGGTGTTCCAGCTCGAAGCGCCATTGCTTGCCGGCTGACGAAAACTCAACGAGATGACCGGTCGAGCGCCCAGCAACTGAAGCACGAGCCCCACGTCCATGCTGAGTTGCCAAGACCTTCACATAGTCTTCCTCCGGCGGTTCATTAATAGGCTGTCCGCTGGCTTGTGTCGAGACGAGCTTCTGTCCATTTTTGAACAATATAGCCGTGTGGTGAGGGGTGCTGCCGCCGACTCTCGACGTGGGCTCCCAGTAGAAGAACGAGTACGGACCGGCAGTTCCGCGGATAATGCGGAAGCCCCAGATGATCTTGAACCAGTTGTCAATGGCCCACAGGTGAAAATGGCCGCCCATCCCGGAGTACGACACCGACCCACCTCGGCGTCCCTTGATTGTCAAGTTACCCCGGACCTGGGCAGCAGGGACGGTGCCATGCATGTGGAGCCCCGGTGCCACCTGTGTTGAGCTTCGCGGCGACGCGTGTAATGTTCCGTCGGGGTAATGGCCTGGGGCCGAGCCGGCAAGGAGGAAGCTTCCGTGAAACTTGGGCGTCCTCACGGAAAAGGTGGTACTGGCTCCGATGTCCGTTTCTCTAGGGACGCGAAATTCGAATGAGTGGCTGTCAGACGTCCAGGTGCTGGCCACGAAATCCCCGCAGTCGTAGATGGAGGATTCGTCGACAAAAGCAAGCTCTTGGATCTTGGTGCCGTCTTCCAGCAAGGCGTAGAACTCAACATGAAGGTTGCCTTGCCCGAAGAATGAATAGGAGGCATCTCGACCGAGAGAGAGAAAGATACCACTCAATCCGTTGTCAGACACGCTATCAAAGACCCACTGCTCCCAAGAAGATGAGTTGATGCCAGACAACTTGCCAATGGTGGGGTGCTCATCGTGCTTCCGTGGACCGAAGTGCACATCTCCCGTCACCATCTCATGAGACCCAATTCGATGCTCTTTGCATGCCTGTTTCCAATCTTGTGATTGGCTTTGGGATATCCCGCGGGAATCGTTGCTAGTATCATGGGCCAGGTGCTTCTGCTCTTGGAATCGTGATTCCGTCGATACGGTTGTGACAGCCTCGAAGAGGATCAAACCCCACAGCTTCAAACGAACCATCGTCTCAACGTTTCGAGCTTGTGATACGACGTATTGAAATGACTCATTCGAACTTTAAACGGCAGTTGAAGAGAGCGGTGAGAACAACAGAGAGTAACAGATGACTAGGGGGCGCGCAGCAAAGGGTTGGAACATTGGAACAGGTCTCCCAATTGATATAACCCATACGGGATTGGAAAACACTACAGCTGATGGGGCCAGCAATAACTCTAATTCAATGTCATAGCCAGAGTTTTAGGCTACATGTGGGCCACTTATTCGAACGGTCATACCGGTCCAATAGGCCGCTGCATCCCGACTACTCGGCCTCCAGACTGAAAGCCCCTGAGATTATGGCTACTCAACACATGATTGGAGGCTGAAAAGGCCACCCATAATCGGCAATTATCATTAATCGGATGTTTATTACGAGAATTCTCTGGCCCGAATGCGACTGACCAGCGCCACCCGAACAGTCTCGTGTTCGCCGATGTTACACTGCTTCAAGCAGTGAGTTGCTTCGATGTTATGAGTTTATGAGGGCTAGGTGCAACAGGCGTTGGTAGTCAGGAACTGATCGCAGCATTTATCCAGTTTCTATCTTCGAGCATCTGATCTCTCACGCAATGGGTTCACTTGGTGTTCCGAACTTGCCCGAGAGGCAACGCGCCATCATCCAAGCTCAAAGCCCGCCAGGGAAGCTGGTTCTTACCTATGACCGACTTGTACCTAAGCCAGCATCCGATGAAGTTTTGGTTCGCGTCCATGCGGTTGCGGCTAATCCATCAGATTGGAAAATGTCCACGCAGTTTCCGTGCCCCGGCGGCGGATGCGGCATGGACTTTTCCGGTGTGGTGGTAGCGACTGGTCCCGGGCTTGATCCGGAAATAGGCATTGGAGTTGGTGATGCGGTTGCTGGAGCGGTTCACGGAGCCAATCCCATAGATCCTCAAGCCGGCTCATTTGCAGAGTATACCTGTGCTTTTGCAGATCTCACGTGGAAAGTTCCTCGGCCATTGTCCTTGACAGATGCTGCGGCAATTGGAGGCTGTTGTGTGGCCACGGTCGGGCTTGCCCTCTTTGCTGAGGATGCTTTGGGACTCAGATACGAGTTGAATCAGTCTTCTGAGAACTCCAAGCCACCTTTTGTGTTGATTTATGGAGGAAGTACTGCTTCAGGAACTATGGCAATCCAACTGGCTAAACTGTGAGTCAATGAATCTGAGGCTTCCTGTTGACATTAACGGCTGATTTTGTTTTGCCCATCTAGCTGTGGCTTTCGTGTGATCGCAACATGCTCACCGAAGAATGCGAATATGGTGTTGTCATATGGAGCAGAGCACACATTTGACTACAATAGCGCATCTTGTGCAGCTGACATACGGTCTTACACCAAAAGTACACTTCACTATGTCTTGGATACCATCGTGGACCCAAAGTCTATCGTAGTCGCGGACAAGGCCATGGGACGTTCTGGTGGTCGATACGCTGGGCTTGAGGCTCTGCCTGAAGACGTTCTTGATGGCACTGGCAGCATTCGAAAGACGATCAAGTGGACGTACGTCATGGGTACCAGCATGATTGGCAGAGAGGAGGGTCTTACGGGGCCCTATTACAGCAAGCCACGGCCTGAGAAGCGTGCTTTTGGGAAGTGGTGGTTCCGTACTGTTGTCCAAGAACTCATGGATAAAGGGTTACTGAAGCCCCATCCAGTGAAGCTGATGGACGGGGGGTTAGAGGCTGTTCCTAGAGGAGTAAAGCTGTTGCAAGAGAAGGCGGTGAGTGGTGGAAAGTTGGTATACACAATTCAATAGAGTATCAAAATGAATATCAAAGTCAGCCTTCAGCAAACTTTCTTTCCATAGTCTGTGAATCTTCTCGAGCTAAAGGGTTGTACAACCTCTGTGGCGGGGACCTTGCACAGCATTCATCATTCAAACAAATTCTTGACTCGATCCGATCAATTGATGTGAAGTAGCTACTAGGTATGCTTGTAGGGTAGAAAACGATGTGAAATGCATGATATCATACTAAACTGCAAAATCTCATCTTGAAGGCCTGTTAATCCCCAGTTGCTTGTCGAGAAATGCGAAGGTTTTGGTCGCGAGCGAGTTCCACGCCCCGACTTTGCCTGTCAAGGCACCCTCCCCCACAGTCTCTGGGATCCAAACCTCCTTCTTCGCAAGAGGGACATGAACGAGCTCATCCATAATACGTTGCGTGCTAGCATCGGGGAGTTGATAGATGGCTTGAGATGCTCCTGTAACCAGGACAGGACATCTTACCTGCGATAAGATGGTTGCCCCACCTCTTTCTTCATCCGCGTCCTTGTCTTTGAAGTCATCATCAGGTCGCCATCGCAGACTGTATCTCCTGAATTCCCGCACAACATCCGCCGGCTTCCTCTGACCCATCACATGCATTGTTGTGGTAAACTCCCATTTGGTAGGGAAGTCCATCGACATGTGAGAGTTGCATGACCAGTCGAAGAAGCCGTCTGAGATCCAGCCGCTTAGCCACATGCGCACATACCAGCCCGGCAGTCTCGTCATGGCCAGCTCCCACATATCGTAGAGTGGGTCGGCTGAGATGCAGGCTGCAACACGGGATGATTCAGCAGCGGCTGTTCTCAGAGCGATGTATCCGCCCATAGAAATGCCTGCTACAGAGACGCGGTCAAGGTCGAGATTGGCATCGGGCCGCTCCTTAGCCAGAGCCCAGATTCCATCAAGAACACATGAGAGAATCTTTTCGTAGTCAGGTCTCATTGGCTCACCATCGCGCTTCAATGTGAGACCTTGCCCGGGACCATCGAAGTTGAGAACAGCATAGCCAAGCTCTGGGCCCAGCGTGCCGAAGACAAAATACAGTTCTTCCATGGTTGAGTCTGCGCCACCGCAGCTGATGAGAAGAGGTGTCTTCTGCTCGTTTCTCAATCTCTTCGCCTCCGGGGGCAGAAACAGGCGACCTGGAATGTCGATGTTGCCGAAGTGAAATGTCATGTTAAGAACTTTGCCTTCCATAAACTCAGTTGCTTTCTCAAAGTGCTCTGCACTGAGTTCACCACACTTCAATACGCGGCGGTCCAGCGCTGGGAGCATGTACGGTGCAGCTCGGTAGTAGTTGGAAGCCCTAAGGTAGGCGGCCTTGGCTAAAGGCGCAAGGCCCTGGCGGCTGGCATCCGTAGCGGTCTGGCTTGCCCTGCTTGCCTGCTTCCACCAGGCACGATACCAACTTTCTGGATCATGTTTCTTGATCTCGCCTACTGCCTCAAGAAACTCGGCAACATCGCACCCTCCAGCAGCAGTTGTCCCAAGGATGCGTGTAAGCTCAAAGTTGTAAAAGGGAGAAGAGAAGAAGTGATGCATTGTAGCATTCGATGGTTGTTCGTTGAAGTTTAGAGAGTTTCGAGCACCTGCCATCGATAAGTGCACAGGCTATTCGACAAAGTTGAGGTCAATGGGTGGATGATTTCACCGCGGAAAGGGCAGAAGCAGTTGTCATCCCCACACAGATGAGATTCATACGGCGAGGAGTCACTGTAGTTCAGACCTGCACAATTCTAAAGCACAACTCATGGAAAATCTGCATGCAACTAGCACTTCTGGAGAGAGCGACTTGGGCCGAACTTGCTGGGGTTGTTCGGAGTGTCCGGTCGGAGGTTGGAAGGCTCTCGGAAATTTCCCAGAATACACTTCTGACAGGAGCAGAACCACCGGATACGGCATGACTCGACACTTGGCAGCAATAAAGCCGCAGCATAGCTTGCATTCCTGCCGGACCGAATTAATATACGACCGTACAATTCCGAAGAATCATCGGGGTTGTGTTGAGACTCTCGTCGACACCAAAGCCTGTCCCCCGTTACCTCGACAACACCCTGTAGATGAGGTAGGACAGAAACCACAGAAGATCCCGCTTTTGTCTTTCACAGCTGACACATAGTTGTGACAGCCTCGGTCGCGCGCATACAGCAGTGTATAGACTTCCCATTTTTGGAGATACATCCAAGATGACAGTGGCATTCATCCACGTCGCCCCGTTGATTACTTCTTCGGCGTTGTCAGTGCTTCTCGTTGTGGTCACGCAGTAATGGAAAAGATCGCTGACAACACTATGAAACAGTTTAATGGGGTCATTCGCCCAAGGAATTGCTTTCAGGAGCTTCCAGAATCCAAAGTTAGGGTCAAAAGCGCGTCGCGAGGTTTTCCTGCATTGGGTTGAAATCTTCGCTAGTTTTGCTTGGTCCATGGCTTTGGTGTTCATGTTCAACATTACCTTTATTGGTCTCAACCTCTATCTGGAACCTCCGTCTGGCTTGCAAAACGGAGGTGCCCCCCGTTGGCTGTGGGCTGCCGCACTTCTATGCAGCATGGGACATCCCAGACCTCGCGAAGTTACGGCAGCTTTGATGCGCATCAGCAGAGGTGGTGATCAATCATACAGTGCAGAGAAGGTGGAATACTTCTTGCGAGGATATCGTCGAGTCAACCTCGAGCATCTTTTCCTCACAGATGGTCCCAGCTGGATTTTCACTGTTGCAGCTGTTACCAAGAATCTGGGTGTTTGTTGGGGATGTCATTCTCAGAAGGCTTCTTTGGCGCTTGGAATGGTTGCCTTGATCATAAGCTGCTATGTTAGCGTCAGGGGGATCTTGCGGTCAAAATCATAGACTTGAATATAATTGATAGGTTCCGATCGTTGATTCTGTCACCAACTTCGTCAGTAATAGAACTCAGATGTGCGCGGATGCATTTAGATCAGTACTAAGAGGCCTTGAAAAGGAAAGAAGACAAGGGCGAAGACGAAGACGATGCTGTTCGGGCGCGAACGAAGGGGATAATACAGTCAATGGTGGCTGCTAGACTAGGTCACAGTACAATTATTGAATCGTCCAAGACTTTTTCATAATGCTGCATTCTTTGAGAGCAGGTGCATTGAACACCGATTACGCGAAGCAAACGAGGCATGCAGAGGTGATGCCTGTATTATCTATCTCAAGTAGTGCGTGTATACCTCACTCGCAGGTCGGGTAGAACCCATAGAGCCTGAAACTTGCGTTCTCTTTCCCAGTCGAACCTAGTATCGTTGACCAGTTCCCAGGTATATTCATATGCAAGACGCGCCAGTAGTAGTTTCAACTCGGTGTAGGCCAAGTTGATTCCCAAGCATACCCGGGGACCAAGCGAGAATGGTTGCGACGCTTCCTTCAAGTCGTTACAAAACAATGGGTCAAAGTAGTCGTGAGATGCCGAAAGCCACCTCTCAGGATGGAACTCTTCAGGCTCAAAAAAGTAGTCGGGCCGGCGAGTGATACTCCAACCACTAGTCGAAACGACAGTCTGGATCATCAAAATCCGTTAGCCAGGCACAAGCTTCAGATTTCAGGTCACGTACCCCTTTAGGAACAAAGTTTCCATCAACCTCTGCGCCAGGGCTTTCGCGAGGCAGCCCAAATGTCAACGGCGGCATGATTCTCATGGTCTCCTCAATGCATGCGCTGAGATAAGGCAACTGATTTACGGTGGTGCCGTTCATCTCAGACGCATCTGAAAACTTCTCCCGTAATTCTCTCTGTAGGCGTTTCATCTTTTCTGGTCTCCTTGCGAGATAGTATGACGCAGCAGTAGCGGTCACTGCCGTGGTATCAAACCCTGCCGCGATGAGTACACCAGCCTGGTTTCCAAGCCACTCCTCAGACGCCACTTGCAGAAAGTTGTCAGGCTTCTCCTTCAGAAGGAAGCTAAACAAGTCCCGCTTTTGTTCATGAGATGGCCGCGATAGCCTCTTCCGTGTCATTGAAGTCTGGTATTTGAAGAAACGGACGAATTGGCCGATAGAGCTCCAAGGCACAACGAGCGGTAGAGTGAGCCATAGTATTGGAAGACGAGGTGCAATTTGCACAATACTCATGAAGTAGATAGCACCATGAATTGTGCTAATCCATGGATGTGCTGTGCCTTGAGAATGATCGTGAGCATTTGGTTTGGTATTCAAGCAAAGTTGATTGGTAGTTGGGAGGCAATTACCTGTTCCAAGTGCGCCAAATGCTTCTCCTAAGGCTAGTTCCCCGATTGTGTCAAAGACGAATGACTGCAGGAGCTGTCGATCATCAGCAACTGACAACTATTATCAATGGGGTGATTCATGCCTTGTTTAGTAAAAGCCCCTGTTTTTCCTCGGCAATCTGATTGTCAATCTGGGTGATCAACATGTCTAAATTTGTCTTCAAGATCGGCTCTTGAGCTTGAAGTTCTTTGGCACTGAAGCCGTAAGATAAGAGCTTTTTGGTCTCTTTGTGCTTGATTGGGTCTCTCTCCATGACTATGGTGCTGTATCCGCTCGGGCCTGCGTAGAATGATGATTTGAGAAATGTCTGGCCTGTTTTGGCGGTATTGCCATAGATGTCTACACGAAAGTATGGTCAGATTGGGGAAGGCTGTGGTGTGACTTTTTCATACCTTGCAAGCTTTGGGCAGTATTGAAGCTGAGTTCATTAGGGGCCAGGCGTACAACATCACCTTCCCCAGAATGTCAGATAAATCTCTGCGAATGGCTGATTTTGCCTTTGAATTGGTGCGTTTACTAACCATATTTCTGATGAAGCTTGTGTATGTACTCATGATAGTGGCCAGTGAGCCTGCAAGGTTAGGCGATAATCCACAAACAACCGAGAATGAGGAGATACACCGCTCACCAGTGGTAAACATAAGACGGCTCAGAGACTGCCGCGAGCTTGGGGCCTGGGAATCGAGCCAAGGGGTGAAAGTAAAGGAGGTATACTGAACGGCAGACACCATATATGGAGAGCTATTATGAAATCATTCAGTCAGCCCCGATTTTCTTTATCATAAAGCAAGGTGTGCATTTGGAGCATGAAAAACCTCGAGATCAGACTAACCGCGAAAATGACAAACTTCACTACCTCCCCTGAGTCCCATAACTCTGTAAAAACACCCATCGTTCCGTGAATGGATTATGCGATCAGACTGAAGAGCACTGCAGCACTGCGGTAATGAGTTTGAGTGGAAGGCACCAAATGCAGCGATGTCTGCCAACGGTGTGCGGATCGAAAAGGAAGCTTTCATGCAAAGAGTGGGTGTTGGCTGTGTGTCAACCAGCCTGAAAAGCGGGCTACTTGCCATGCGCACACCCAAAAGTCGGGACGAACCATTCCACCAATTCTCGCGATAACAAGTCGGAAATTTTGGCTAGGCGAGCTATCGCTATCGGTTAGTTCGGAGGTTTGGGTGACGGGGACCATACGCCGAGTCGGGTGAATCACGAGGAAGCGGGCCCAGGGTATTCTTCCAGTAAACACGACCGGAGCCGGAGGGAGCCGGAGGGACAATTGACTTCGATCCAAAGTGACGACCCCGAATCAGTGACAGATTAGAGTTAGACTATCTAGATAGCCTACCGTATAGCTTCAACTAACACATCATTGAAGTCTTTCGTCATTGGCAACAGCATTGCTTTGACTTGCCTGCTGCATCATCTGGTTTCCATTCAGCCTTCGTAGCAACATCAACCATCACCTAGTTTGAAGTATCAACTTCACCAATCAGACGAACAGCCATGAGGCAAGTTATTGAGCCTTCTGCCTCTAAGGCTAAGACCAAATTGCAAGAGCCCATCGCAATCGTAGGCTCTGCTTGCCGCTTTCCCGGCGGTGCAAGCAATCCCTCTAAGCTATGGGACCTATTGCGACAACCGCGAGACGTCCTTCGCAAGATACCCGAAGATCGCTTTAGCCCTGAAGCCTTTTACCACCCCGACGGTGCCCATCATGGAACCAGCAACGTTACCGAGTCTTATCTTCTCGAAGAAGATCCCCGTGTCTTTGACGCGGGCTTCTTCAGTATCAAACCAGTCGAAGCACATGCGACCGACCCTCAACACCGCATCCTGCTAGAAACCGTCTATGAGGCCCTTGAGTCGGCCGGACTTCCGATGGAGGGAGTAGCTGGGTCTCAGACTGCGGTTTACGTTGGTCAAATGTGGTGCGACTACAACGATCATCTTCAACGGGACATGGACAGTCTGCCAACATATGCGGGTGTTGGAACTGCTCGAAGTATTTTGTCAAACCGCATATCACATTTCTTTGACTGGCATGGTCCTTCGGCAACGATTGACACAGCTTGTTCGTCCAGTTTAGTCGCCGTCTATAACGCGGTGATGACACTTCGAAACGGAGATTCTCCGATGGCAGTTGTCGCTGGTGCTAACATTATTTTGACTCCCGAGCCATACATCGGCGAAAGCAAGCTGAAAATGCTTTCCTCCGACAGTCGATCTCGCATGTGGGACGAAGACGCTAAGGGATACGCCCGTGGTGACGGCGTTGCGGCGCTCATTCTGAAGCCCCTGTCTGCCGCCCTTGCTGATGGCGACCATATCGAGAGCGTCATCAGGGAATGTCTAGTCAATCAAGACGGAAGGACCGCTGAAGGCATTACCGTTCCAAGCTCGGAAGCACAGGCCGAGTTGATTCAGCAAACCTACTCGAAAGCAGGCCTGGATGCTCTTAACCCTAATGATCGCTGCCAATACTTTGAGGCACATGGTACAGGCACCGGTGCTGGAGACCCTAGAGTAAGTCAGTCATATCAGAATTGAGCAAGTGTAAATCGCTAACTCAGTCGATCGATAGGAAGCCAGAGCTATTGCCACTGCCTTCTTCGGTAAGAGTCACCGCAGCGACAACACCGCAGACAAGTTGTACGTCGGCTCCATCAAGACTGTTATCGGGCACACCGAAGGCACAGCAGGCATAGCTGGCATCATGAAAGCTTCGCTTGCTGTGCAACACGGCGAAATTCCGCCAAATCTTCTGTTCAACAAACTCAGCCCCGCAGTCGCTCCGTTCTACAATAATCTCGAGATCCCGGTCACGCCTCAGAGATGGCCCTCTCTTCCGCCGGGAGTGCCTCGTCGAGCAAGTATCAACAGCTTCGGCTTTGGAGGTACCAACGCTCATGTTATCCTGGAGAGTTTCGATCAGAGCCTGCAACATCCATTTGAGATGAACGAGGACGGAAACGCTCGCCATTGCTTACTTTCGCCTTTCGTATTTTCAGCCTCGTCGGAGAAGTCATTGAAGAACCTGATTCAGCATTACGTCTCATATCTCGAGGAGAATCGGAGGACAAGCCTCTCGGACGTATCGTATACCCTGTCCCGTCGATCTGCTTTGTCTTGCAGAATTTCATTTTCTGCACAGTCAGTCGACGAGTTGCTGGATAGATTGAACGAGTGGCTGAATAAGACGAGGACGAGTCCTGATGTTTCGCATAGTACTCGCTTCTCAGCCAGCTCAGGCCAAGCCCGTGTATTGGGAGTTTTCACAGGCCAAGGCGCGCAATGGGCTACCATGGGAAAACAGTTGATCACCAAATTCCCGCAAGTTCGGTCTATGATCACTGATATGGACCGTTCTTTGAGAGCCTTACCGCATGACCATCGCCCGCAGTGGTCGATTGTGGACGAGCTTCTGGCTGATACCAAGAGCTCTAGAGTTCATCTGGCCGCCTTCTCTCAACCCCTGTGCACTGCTGTGCAAGTTGTCTTGGTCGACCTCTTACGAGCTTTGGGCGTCAATTTTAGCGGCGTTGTTGGTCATTCCTCTGGAGAGATAGCAGCGGCTTATGCTGCCGGTTTCATCAGCGCCAGCAGTGCCATCAGAATCGCCTATTACCGCGGAAGGGCTACTTCACTCGCCGGCCAGAATAAGTCTCAAAAGGGTGCGATGATGGCCATTGGCACATCTATAGAAGACGCAGAAGAGCTATGCGTCGTTGATACCCTAGAGGGACGCATTTCGATTGCAGCAGTCAACTCTCCTTCGAGCATCACGCTCTCCGGAGATGCCGATGCAATCGAGGAGGCCCGTCTCATCCTTGAAGACGAGGGCAAATTTGCAAGAATTCTCAAGGTCGATCAGGCGTATCACTCAGAGCACATGCTTCCTTGCGTGGAATCATACCTTCGCGCCATGATGGAATGTGATGTGAGCCCTGAGCGGACCTTGGATAAGACTTGCGCTTGGTACTCCAGTGTTCATGCTGGTACACCAATGGAACCATCAGATCCGGACTTGACGGGGAAATACTGGTGCGACAATATGGCTAGGCCGGTTCTGTTTTCGAACGCTGTAACGAGTGCGTGGGAGCAACACGGCCCCTTCGACGCAGTTGTCGAAGTCGGTGCTCACCCGGCCCTCAAGGGCCCCTTCTTGCAAACCCTTCAAGAGCTGAACCCGAAGGCATCCAGCCTGCCCTATACAGGCCTGCTGTCAAGGAACCAAGATGATGTTTCATCATTTACCCAAGGCATCGGGGCCCTATGGCAAAACCTCGGCCACGGATCTCTGGACTTTGCTGCTCTTGATCGACGGATTGCGCCGAACAAAGCGTCCCCTCGACTTTTGAAAACCCTTCCTTCCTATACTTGGGATCACGACCGCGTCTACTGGCATGAGTCTCGACTGAGCAAAGCGTATCGGACGCGAAAGTCTCGTCCTCATGCCCTACTTGGCACGCTTACATCTGATGGATTGGAGACGGAGATGCGATGGCGCAATCTTTTGAGAGTCTCCGAGCTACCGTGGGTTAAAGACCACACTCTTCAGGGCCAAGTCGTGTTCCCAGCTGCTGGTTACATTGTCACCGCCATGGAGGCTGTGATGGCGGCAGGAGGCGATCGCAGCCCTCGTCTTGTTGCCGTCAACAATGTCGTTATCAGCAGAGCCCTGACTCTTGAGGACGACGTCGACGTTGAGACTTTGGTGTCGCTTTCGAAAATTCGCAGTGAGACTCCTGATGTCATGAGCGCCGAGTTTCAGTATCACGCATTGCTTCGCCGAGACGCTCCCAATCTGACATTGCTTGCGACAGCTTCAGTCGAGCTAA